GATTATCCACAGGGTCATCTTGACTGTGAAATAGCCAGTTTGCTTTCTTCTGGCAGAAACTGCATTCGGATGTGTTTTGATAACTCAATGCTCAAGTGCCCGAGCTCACCATCTCGTAAGCATGGTTAACCAACCAGCTTGCCCTACTTTTTCGCTTAGTTATGCATAATTGGCAGAGGGAAACGACAGGGGACTGAATATTCCGCGCAAAATCACTTCCGTTGGCCAACAATCGATTGACCGCCTTCGACTCATTATCCTCGCTAATCCCTCGGCGCTCTCCTCCTGTCAGTTTCAGGGGGTCCGGAGTTCCCGAGTTCCGGGTCGACAGGGCCAATTAGGGCTTGAACTTGAGTAGACCTCCGGTCAGCCGGAAAACGGACAACCGGACAGCCGGGGAGAAGTGACCCCAATCCGCACGGCTGTCGCCCGTCGTCCGCAGTCCGTTGTTCCGATGTCGGTCCGTCCGCCGACCGTCTGTCCACTTGAACCCTGCCAAACTGTCGGAGCGTTAATTGAGTTTGACACTAATGAGCGTGCAATCGCTGCATAATTGATTTACAAACGGCGGGCCATCAGATGCCACGCCCCCTGCTGTCTGCAGTCGCCCGCCCCAGTTTATGACTTTGTTGCAGTGCGCCTAATTGGGTCAGGCAAACACAAACACCACCGCACACAATGGCGATAGCTCCATGGCCGACTTTTGGCCGGCGAGGAATTAGCATTCCGGCTGAAGCAGCCGCAAACTGAAGGGGACCGACCGAAAAATCTGGCTGCCAATGTAGGCCGAGCATCGACCCAGGATCCCAGATTGCCAGGATGCCAGGATCTGGGACTCGCAACAGGAGTTGCCACAAGCACTAATTCCACACAATTCGTAATTAATTTGAATTAATTATGTGCCACTTTCCACATGCAGCCGGGGCAAACACGCCGACGTCGCTTTCCGCAAACATCACGTGTGGGCGGAGAGGGCGGTTAGGGGGGCGTGGCTGGCTAGCGGTGGCGGCATATTTCTAGACTCAACTGCCGCCGCAAATCTGCCGCAGAGGCGAAGGGATGCGGTGGGCGTGGCAGGTGGTTTGCCTTGTTTGCTGCCTTGGTCTCCATTTATCTCCTCTGTTTCGTTGCCACTTCCTATTTTCAGGCGCAACTCGAAGCCAATGGAAGAGGAGCCAAAAGGAGCCTAAAGCATTGGGATTAACGAAAGTCTGGGGATTCCACGCACCAGAACTTCCCATCTGGGTAAGCCTTTGTTAGGGGGACACATCCCAAAGTGTTCGAAAACATCGTAGGAAGACTTTGCTAGTGGCAAGAGAAAGCTGAACTAACATTGAGCAGTCGATATAAATATTAAAGGTAGCTCTTTAATAAGGACAACAAAAGTGTAAATGCACTTCATTCAAAGTTAAATTTAATTCTCATGTCTTTTGTGACAGAGTTCCCTTTGTTCGGCACTTGTACTGCACATTTAGGGAGGCTCTGTGAATTACAGCTTCAAAGATGGCCAATCTCCTTGGCATCCGAAGAATAATTGCCGCAATTCATTAGGAGTATTCCTTAAACGCCGTATCAAGTGTCCCGATGGAAGTGGCAGCCGTCGGGCGATGGCTCACGTAAGCCGTAATCTCGAAAGCATCGAGCCAGGGACTTTGGCACTTAAGACAAGTTCAAACAAAAACACACACATCCATCCAGCCAGCCAGACATAACGTACTACGAGTATAATCACTGGGGCCCACGTGCTAGGCAAATTAATTTGGATTCCGTCGGTGAACTCGCCCAAATCGGAAAAACAGAGCGCTGGGAAACCTCAAAATATCTCTGCTCCCGATGGATGGAGATGGAGATGGAGAGTTTTCCGGGCGGAGCGTTGACAGCAGAAATTTAACGCTCGAAATGCCGAACACACAAATATTTTGACATTCAAAGCACAGATCCTAATACACATGAATATGTACACAGCTGTGTGGTGGTGTCCTTGCTCGCCTGTCCTCTGTCCTCTGTTCGGTGTTCTGTGTTCTCTGTTCTCTTGGCGTGGCAAATTTTCCATGAAAATTGCATGAATTGCAGATTTTTGTTGCCCCGTCCTGTTTCCGTACGCACGAAATGCGCTCCGGCCGGAGCGATGGGAGCCGCCTTTCGCCGGATCCGGAGTCAAGTTGCGTGTGCCGTAGACATTTTTATGGCATGCAGCGCACTGCCAGATGGCAGCTGCCGCCTCCCACTTGCCACTTGCCACTTGGTACTTGCCACTTGGCGCAAGTGGGGAGCGCTTTGCTATATAATAGAATTTGCCAGAAACGTGACTTTAACAAGCTCCCCGACATGTAAATACATAAACACATGTGCATGGCTGTCAAACGGCGCGGAGGAATGACTTAATACACTGCAACGCTGATATGCGGACAATGCGGCGTATGCGTGATGTGCCAAGAAGCGAGGCAGCGGATCGGGGGAGAGGGGCGGCGAAAAATGCAGCGACCACAGCTCAATTAGTTTTCGGCTCCGAGGGAGGGCCACAGGGCGTATGATTAATGTGGTTTCTATTCAAATGGCTCCGCCCGAAAGTATGCTGACATAGAGTGGCCGACACTTGTGGCGTTCCATGTGGCGGCAGCATCGAGATACCATTCTGGAATGCAGCCAACTCGAAAGCCCTTTATTCATCAGATTCTCGCCTGTGGTTCTGGCAACGAGTTGCGGCCTTCCGGATCACAGATAGCAACTAAATTGCACTTCGCTCCAATTACTCTGCCGGCCAGGTAATCCGGCTAATTGCCACACAACTAATTCGGAAGTTGCCGCATCTCGATGTGAAAGTTGCGGCTCAGATTCGTGTTTTCTGGCAGGTAGCTTGGATTTAATTAAGTTAGCACGGATAAGGATCAATCGAGATGGCCGAGTCGCACCCGAAAACGAGGCCCCAAGGAGGCATTCCGCTTCCCGAAGAGCCGGGTTTAAGTCATCAATTTTTCATCTCACTCGACTGCATAAATCAACCCGACTGGCAACCTGCCACGTGCCTCCGCCGTATGCCACATGCCACTAAACAGCAACTAAGGCCGTTGTAACAGCCACGTTAACCTGGCTCATTGTCTGCGCGACATTTGTATTTGTTGTCCCAATCCGCTGTCCTTCGTCCTGCGTCTTTCGTCCTTTGTTTTATTGTCCAACAGTCGAAGGCAGTAAAATTTAATGCCGCCGAAGACAATTGCGTGCCGCGGAGCATTATGGCCACGGCCTGGATTTGACTTTTGGCCAGGACTGCGTTAGTGGCTTGTCACTGCCACTTCGCTATTTGCTTAGACGAGATTTATGCGCTGCTAGCGCCTGATAAATGACTGGGAAAACTTGTGGGAGGGCCTCACTTTTTGTCAAATGGAATACGAGTACGAGTACGAATCGGAGCAGAGCTCGTTGGCCATAAATTCACAGTTCGCTGCTGCTCTGTCATTTTCTCGGCGGCCGAGTCTCGTTAAAACGCCAAATTAGCCCGGCAAATTAGAGAAATTCTAGATAATTTCCGTAATTGCGATTGTCGGTGAGTTGACCCGGCAACCGGGAGGAAATTAAATATAGTGACCAGCCGAAAGGGCTAATTAAATGGAAAACGGGATAACAAAACAGGAGACACGGAATTCAGTTCCAAATGTGAAGATCCAGACAAAAAAACCTGAAAACTAAAACAAATAAATCGCAGAGGGAAACACAACCAACCAACACACAACAAACACTTACTCACAGACTCGTTAGCTTTTATTAATCGAATTAACTGCATATTCAGCAGGCCGAATCATTGTTGGCATCGCAACAATTGCCAATTGCCAATGGGCAATGTGTAAACCACAGAAACACATGCAGAGCGGATAATCGGGGCGAATTTTTTCCATAAACAGACAGATTAAACCCGTCAACGTCACCGCATGCGAGCATTAAAAATTAATTACACTTTCAATGGGCGAAGATTTAATTTTGCGGCCTCCTCCAAACTCCAAACTCCGAACGGCTGTCCCGGGGCACTTAATTGAAAAGTAAAAATAAATGTCATTACAGCAATTCATTTGGGAGGGAATGCGATTTAGAGCCTTTTGCCATCGTTCAGATTTTAATTGAATTGTTGCCGCTGCGATCAATACGCCCACGCACCGAAGCTGCTCGCATGGAAATGCTGTAAATTTGTTGCGGTCAATTTGCGTGTTAATGCCAGTAAAAGCCGAAAAATGTTTGCCACTACTACCATTTCTATATTTCCCCCCAGCAATCCCCCTTCCTCTCAAAAGTGAGCCGCAGTCGGTAAACGAACCGCAGCAGCCAAGTGTCGAAAATTTGCATCCAATTAAAATGTTTGCCCTAACACATCAGCCAGCACGAGGCTTACTTTCATGACCAAAATGCAGTGTGGCTCCAGTGGAGATGCCACCGACCGAAAACTGCAATTAGGTTGTAATCCGGGTCGCCATCATAAACTTATATGGGTTTCTTATCAAGTTCGGGGCTCCCAGAGGGGTTTTCTTTTCCAGGAACATTCTTTCTCTACTTCGACAAGTCATTCCGCCGACGGACTGTTTATTAGTTCTGTGTACGATTCTGATAAAACCCGTATTTCTAATTTTGGTTCAAGATAAGATCGACTATAATCGATGCGCAACTGCTTCAGTAAGCCAAAATAACTTGTATCGGAGTCATGTAAAGTAGTAAGGTGAAATGAGCAACGAAATAGCAGTTGAGGTAGTTTCAATATTTGTTCGAGATAAATTAAGAGTAGTTTTTCAAGTTACGAAATAATTTGTTTGCCGTGGGCGAAATGTAATGAAAGATAATTTAATTTGTGAGGGAAAACAAATTATAAAACCGACGTTATAGCGACTTCTTAACAACAGAGCTTATGTCACTGACCCTCCGAAGCACGTCCACTCGGCTTTCCAACAAGAAGTGATTCGTATATAAGTGCGCCGCGCAGGCGGAGTTAATAACTCAATTTCCATATTTTCACTTACCTTGGCTTATGTCAAGTCTAATGGCCAGCTCCCAAACACTCTCGACTCGCCGTCTTGTGTTTTCGCAGTTTGTTTTCGTTTCGAGCCGTATCTTTCTTTGTTTTTATTCCGGCAAATAGCGCCAGACACGCTGGGCAAAAAGAGCTGCTCAGTGAGCTTTCGGCGTTCGCGGTGAGAGGTTCGCTTCGTTTCTCGGCGGAATTCAATTGTTTGCGAGCGGAGTGCCTGCGGAATAGACAGAAAATCGAATTTGAATGACTGAAAAACAAAGTTGTGCCCGCGACAGTGATTCTCAGAAGGAAAATCAGCCGAAAATGCCAAGGCTTCCCGAAAACCGGAGAACGCATTCCTGAAAAAAGATAAATCCGGACGAAAGTGGAGCGAAAGTAATTTCATAAGTTTGCCAACCCGCTTTTTTCTTTTGTGTGTTCAAGAAGCGAAACATGCCATTAAATATGTCTCGTGTGCAAACTACAAACAACAAGATATGATGGGGTACCATAAGTCTGTCCCAAAACTCTTTCAATGAGACAAGTTAGAGCGCCGGGCAACAACGAGAGTTGTGAGTGATGTTCCCAGTTCAGCCGAGTGCTTCGGTTGCGAAACACCTCTCGTTCACAATATCTTTATTGACGCGCCGTAAAGATTCTCGCATTGCAATTCGTCTGCAAACTATATGATTCCGCCAGCCAGATAAGTGGGAAAGTGAGTCAAGAAGACACTTTTGCGAGCGGGCCATAACCCGATTGCTTTTCAAAATTATATTAGTCGGACTCAACATACTGTGCGATAAATCAAAGCCGAAGCGCAACAGTCAACGCGTTTGCACAAAGCGCTGTCAGCGGCAGGAAAGCACCTCGGGCGCAATTAAATAATTGACTCTTGCCAATATAAAATAATAAAAACTCATTTAGAACGTGTGGCGCTGCAGGCTTTATCGCCCCACCAACCGCAACCTCCCCCGAAAAACAAAAATCAAAAAACCAGAAACGGGGGAACGTGCCATCGAGTTTTGTGGCGCGTACTTCACGCTTTGTTTTGTTTTGGTTCGGTTTTGGTTTTGGTTGGGATCGATTCGTTTTGTTTTGTTTTGCTTCGTTTGGGCCAAGTTGGCGGGTAACTGCGGCTTGCACGTTCCCCTGACATTTTGGAGCCATGCCATGCCAGCCAGGCAGCAGTTGCATTGTGTGCCATAACTTTCCATTATTGCCGCAAGAACAATCGAAAGAGCAGCTGCGCATGCGCAACACTCAAAACAGTCTGGCGCGATCTAGTGGCATCTAGAGTCACCCAAGAAGTAAACAAACCTAGGAAGGTGGCTCCAAAGTCGCAGACTGAATACCCTACCCACCTGTTTTGTATGCTAATCCAAAGTTGAGTGGCTGGAAAATTACAGCTGAAGCAGCCAAGAGTTAGTCTACAAAAACATTCCACCTTCTCAGCTGAGTCACAGAATGTCCACATCAATCCGCTGTGAAAGCTGTCTGTAACAGCTCGTTAACCTGTTCCGAGTGCTGTTGCGATAACAAGGCCAATGCCAACTGGTTTCTAATCAGGAAGAGGCCGGTGCAACTGGACTGTGCGCTAATCACTTCCACTTTCAGTATTACACAGCTATAAACAGCTTAGAATCCTTTTGGGGAGTGTCATTCATATCTGCCTTATTTGAAAAGCCCAATCAATTTGAGAGTTATTTATGGGAGGGGAGAAGGGATGGGGCAATAAATCAATCCGAAACCCGAGATATCAGGAAAGCTGGCTGTCCCGCATCGGAGCCAGGCGAGAAAGCCGAGATGTTGTTATGAATGGGGCGCAAATGGCAAACACTCGGAGACCTTTCCCTGAAAAGGCCAGCAAACTGGTTTCGGTCGCTTGGCAGCCAAATTGCCAGCATTTGTTCGCCTGCCTGCCTGCTGCACTTACCTCTTACCAGTTTGGTGCAGTTTTGGCTGCCTCAAGGCGGCAGCGCCACCTCTCCATTGTTATGCAACTCTTGATCGTCTAAGTCAGTGGGTCAGTGACTTGTCTCCGCCTTTGTCTTTGTCGTTGTCTTTGTTTTTGGTCCCACTCCACTGGCCAGCGATCGTGATTGGCCTGCTCCAGTGGCCAGTGGCCATAATTGGGCCTCACAACTTGACCACCGGCGGAGGTAACCTTAGTTGAAGGCTGCTGTAATCACATTTCTGATTGATTTGCAGCTGCAACATGGAGGCCGCCACCACGAACAACAACAACCACAGCAGCGACAACAACAATGGGTACATGAATCAGGCGTTTGTGGGCTCGCTGAACACCTCGACCATCTCGATCCCCGGCGCCTACAAGCCGAACGAGTCCGCGAATGGCAAGCAGGCGATCCCGGAGGGATCCTCGCCAGGATCGACGGGAGCTGCACCCGGGGACAGCCAGGGCGCCGGGGTGGAGGCGGGGCAGCCGGGGAAGAAGCGGGCCAGCTGGAACAACGACCTCGAGTTCCTCATGTCCTGCATCGCGCTGAGCGTGGGTCTCGGCAACGTCTGGCGGTTCCCCTTCACCGCGCTGGAGAACGGCGGCGGCGCCTTCGTGATCCCCTACCTGATCGTCCTGGTTCTGGTGGGCAAGCCCGTCTACTACCTGGAGATGCTGCTGGGCCAGTTCTCGAGTCGCGGCAGCGTGAAGGTCTACGACTTCGCGCCCATCTTGCGGGGTGAGTAAAAACAGCATTTCAGTGAATGAGTTTAGGTAAATTCCCTGTGAATCAACACCGCTTACAAGTGGATAAATAAGCTGATTTAGGTAATCAGGTTTTGAAGTATCTACTTCAGATTGAAGAGATGAAAATGTAACAGAGTGTGAAACTTTACTCACCAGTAACCTATGGTAGCCAGTTTTCAAGCCACCACCGTTTATCTACCCTTCCGGGCAATCGAATATTCAAGCCGTTTAAGAATTCAGGCGGCGAAGCCCGGGAAGTGTGATAAATCAGGGGATAACTCCTATCCTATCTCCCCCCAACAGGCATCGGCTACGGACAGGTGCTGGCCACGGGCATCGTGACAACCTACTACGCCACGCTGATGGCGCTCACCCTGCGCTACTTCGTGGACTCCTTCTACCCGACGCTCCCGTGGAGCTACTGCCGCCCGGAGTGGGGGCCCGACTGCCTGGACTCGGCGCCGCAGGAGGAAGGCGGGACGAGCAGCTCGAACAGCTCGGAGGTGCGCACCACCTCGGCGGAGTTCTACTTCACGTGAGTGAGGCTCCAAGCAGGAGGTACCTGAATAAGGTGGAACTAATCACCTCCCTCCCTTTCCTTCGCAGGAATATAGTGCTGCGCGAGAAGGCGAGCATCGACGACGGGATCGGTTACCCCAGCTGGAGCCTGGCGCTGGCCCTCGCCGTGGCCTGGCTGTTCATCGCCGGCATCCTGTACCGGGGGTGCGCAGCTCCGGCAAGGCCTCCTACTTCCTGGCCCTCTTCCCGTACGTGGTGATGCTCGTGCTGCTCGTGCGGGCGCTCAGCCTGCCGGGCGCCTTCGACGGGGTGCTCTACTTCCTGCGGCCGCAGTGGCACAAGCTGCTCGAGCCGGGCGTCTGGTACGCCGCCGTCACCCAGGTGTTCTTCTCGCTGGCCATCTGCTTCGGGAACATCATCATGTACGCCTCCTACAACCGCTTCGGGCACAACATCTACAGGTGAGTCAGCTGTCCACTTCTGGGATCAAGAACTACAAGCTACAGGGCTGTCCGATCCACAGGGACGCCAACATCGTGACCACGCTGGACACCTTCACCTCGCTGCTCTCCGGCGTGATCATCTTCGGCATCCTGGGCAACCTGGCGCACGAGAACAGCACCGGCGACATCGCCAGCGTGGTGAACGGCGGGCCGGGACTGGCCTTCATCTCGTACCCGGACGCCATCGCCAAGTTCAAGGTGCTACCGCAGCTCTTCTCCGTGCTCTTCTTCCTCATGCTCTTCGTGCTGGGCATCGGCAGCAACGTGGGCATGGCCTCCTGCCTGGCCACCGTGATCAAGGACCAGTTCACGCACCTGCGCAGCTGGGCCATCGTGGCGGGCATCGCGGTGGCTGGCTACCTGCTCGGGCTGCTCTACATCACCCCCGGGGGCAGTTCGTGCTCAACCTGCTCGACTTCTTCGGGGCCACCTTCGTGGCCCTGGTGCTGGCCATCCTCGAGCTGCTGGCCGTCGCCTGGGTGTACGGAGTGAGGAGGCTCTGCCGCGACGTCGAGTTCATGATCGGCGTCCGCACCTCGCTCTACTACCGCCTCTGCTGGGCGGTGGTCACCCCGCTGATGATGCTGGCCATCCTGGTCTACACGCTGGTGCTCTACAAGCCGCTCCAGTACAAGAACTACACCTACCAGCAGGGGGTGTACGGTAAGCTGAGAAATCTCCCCTCTTCCAAAACCTGGCTAACCGAATTCGCCTTTCAGTGTTCGGCTGGTGCCTCAGCGCCTTCGGAGTGGGCCAGGTGCTCCTCTGGGCCATTCCCGCCGTGCGACAGCAGCCCGCCCACCTCGGGCTCTGGGAGCGCGTCCGCAAGGCCTTCGAACCGCTCCCTGACTGGGGACCCGCCGACCCGCAGACCCTCAAGCGGTACCAGCTGTTCGTGCAGGAGGACCGCGCCAACGCGCTCTTCCGGCGGAGCAGCATCTGGGCGAGAATCTATGACAATATCTTCGGCTAGCGCTGAATTAGCAATAAAACTTCGAGTATATGGTACAACCCAACCCAGAAACAGTCGCTTTACGAGGGGCAACCCTTTCGCAATAAAAAGCGGACCCAGCCCGGGGCTTAAGGGCCGAATTAAATGGCAGCGGAGTTGCCCTCGGGGAGAACTACAATCCGAAAGAGATGGCCAAGGAATACCGTCGTAAATTAGATGACCTCCTCTTCAGGAGGGGGGAATGCGTTATTGTTGTTATTAGTTAACGTGTAGTTAGCCATTTGGCAATCATAAAGGGCGAGCTCTGGAACCCTTTCAGGCCACAATATCCGTTTTTAGGGGGAATCGATTTCGTGCCAGAGATTGTAAACTTTTTACCGAGCTCCTCGTGCCGAGAAAGTACTTTTTTGTGTCGCCCTGCCATCTCCAGTGGCTCCTGCCAACTGGCGGCACTATAAAAGACAAGACAATTGCAGCCAGCGGCACTTTTGCCGCCTTTCCCTCTCTCGGGGGTGTGTGTGGGTGTGGCACACTCGCACTGATTATGCCGCAAAGGGTGGCAGCTCTGATTTTATGATTGAAAGAAAAAGTTACCCGGAATGTGTGTGTGCTGTTTGTGTGTGTGTGTGTAGAACACTTCCGCGGAACATGGGGCGCAAAGTATTAAAGTAATTTGTGGAGGCAAACAAGGCTTCCTGCTGCGCGGATAAACTGGGTGATGTTGGAGTGTTGTCGGGTGGGGAAGTGAGGGGAGCTTCCACTCCGAAATCGAGTATTCAGAAGATAGTAAGGTAGATAGTAGTCCAAGGGAGGATCGCATCCCGGCCAGAAGGAACCGCAGAACAGCTCCGACTGCCGCCTTAATGAAGACGTCTGCTGCACGGACAGCTGGGCGTGCTAATTGCACCGATAAAACGCATTCGGCGACACAAAGGCCGCTCGCTTACGCTCCGCTTCGCCGGGCGAACACACGGCGTATGCGCAACGCCGGGCGGAAAGCCAATGCGTTTCGAGTTATTTGTCAAGCCATTGTTCCGTGTTAATGCGTTTTTAATGGCCAAACTTGAACATTCGCACATGGACGTGAATGTGCTTTGTGCTCTCCGCTCAAGTGGTCGGCGGCGAGTGTCCGCCCCGCTTAATTTCATTGTTTTCCAGCACAACTCAAACATAATGAGACACTATGGCCGCGTCAACGGGTCGTATGCGTAATGCGTAATGGAAACCCATGCAGCCGGAGTGGATGCGCTCCATCGATCGAATGCCGCAGCCACCAATATTGAATGTAAATGGAATTAATTTGTGCTTAAACGAGCCAGTGATTTCGCACAAAAAGGCCAGTGAATTGCTTTTTAAAATATTGTTCTTCCGGCGGCGGCCAATAAAAGTGTTTATTTATGATGCATGCACATGTCATCGTAAATAGGGAAAAAATCATGAATACCTAAGATGGATTACTTATTAATCGCTGCCATTAAAGTCGATTAAGGCTGTTATTAAATGGCGTTCGTGAAGAAGCGAAACGGAAAGTTTTGCCGTTGCAATCGCTTGATTTTAATTATAAATGACGGCTGGTCAGAGTCCATTAGTCTGTCTGGATCCTCTGCGCCTTAAAGGGCATGCAAAATGCATGGGCTGTTTAAAGAGCTCCAAAGCTGGGACCAAAACGGTTTCTCAAGTCTGGAAACCCCCATCAAATCCGGATGGAAAGCAAATATTTGGTTTTATTACAATTTACGCTTATTATTCCGGGGATGCGATGATTTATGGCCTCGTAATAACAGCGCAAATCATAGCCCAGCAGCGAGCAGTGCGTTGTGCGAGTGTGGGCAACCCGAAGGTGGCCAAATAAATCAGCCAACGGAAGTTGAGCGGCAGACGGCAAACAGAAAGCGACAGCCAGCTGCACGGCAACACGGCAACACGGCGTGCCTTTCACGCACATTTCCCCCAGGTAATCAACGCACTGGCCGCAGACAAAGGCCCGGGCTTTCGGCCTGGCCAAAACGGGGAAAACGGGACAGGATCCGGCGGGGGTGGCAGTTGCCACTTGTCGGATGCGGGCCAAAGTAGCTGCGATTTAATGGCCGACAGCCGAGAGACTTCTGCTTAGGCACACATTAACTTTTGGCCTTTTGTCGGCCAAGAACGCTTTGTCTGCCGACCCGCGACCTCTTCTTATCTGGCGGCAATGACACAGCTCGACTAGACACAGCTGCTGGGCTATTACCTGCCTTTGTTTATTTCCCGGCCCGAATTTTAAATTATTTAAATAAATTAGAGCCACTCCACTCCGCTCCCCCGCCGAGCGAACAGATTGCCAGTGATTTAGTTTGAATGGCACTTGGCCGGATCTGCTCGGCACTTGTGTCCTTCTTTCATTGTTGTAAAAATTTACAGCCGAACTTTATAGGCCACAAACGGCATCAGAATGTGTTGAGTTTGCCTTAACATAAAAATTCAGCTCCGAATGTTTCGTTCAGAGAGTCTCGGTTTACCTTAATCGCCAAGCAATTGCCGGGAATTTACATTTTTATTGGGCAACAATTTTGTGTTGCTTGCTAAGTCCTAAATTATTATTGAACATTGTTTTCCCACTGCATTGAGTCAACAAAATATGAATAATTTCAATTTAATTCGATAATATTCAACGATTTTACAAGTGCCTACCTGAAAGCTAATTGAAACCTAATTAAAAATCAATGTATAATAATGTGGCACTCACATTTTTTGCTCTGTCAATGCTAATATGTATTTAATTAGAAGTGAAATGGCTCGAAAGTGGAACTAATGCTAATTAAAATTCGTTGACAACTGCCCTGGACTCTCCCCCGTTCGATGAGTCTAATTAATTGAGGGCTTCACCTGTAAACAGACGGAGCAACCAAGACGCGCTGGTATTGCTATTGGAGCTACGATAAGTAAGTAGTACGGGAATGTATAAGGCCCAGAGAGACACACGATGCCACCACACAAACACATTCCAGAATAAAGTATGACAACCTTACCAAACAAGCTGTGAAGTCGACTTATTTATTTTTTGGTTTATTTTTAGGTTTATGGCAAAATAATTAGGTTTTTTTAATGGAATAGGGGGAAAGACAAAACCTTTGGAAGTACAAGAACTGCTCAGGCTGTATTTAATCCTTAGATCTTTTTTCGACTGCAAACTAAAACGGAAGCATAGATGGAGTCGCACCCTCAAAAATTTGGACTTTTAGCCAAAATATCGTATTTTTCCAAGCGTTTTTCTGTTATAACTCGGTCAAAAATAGTAATTTTCAAGGACGAAAAATTAGGATGTTGCCATATATCCGTATATATATAAATATCGTATCTTTCCAGAGGTTTTTTCGTCATAATCGAGCGACAACAAGTTGCAGCCATTCCTCCCCACTCGAGCGGCGGAAAAGCATTCCGTAGGCAGGCGGCCTTTTATCAAACGTTGCCTTGGCGAAGGACTCGCCGGGATCCGTGTACCTGCACAGTTTGTTATGTCGATGGTCGCCGATCCGAGCCTGGATGTCAACTACAGGCACGAAGCGATTCAGGACGTTTGCGATTCTGTGTTCTGTATTCAGTAGTTTCGGCTGCCGCCTGCCGCCTGCCGTCTGTGTGTTTCATATTTATGACAGTCTGTCAATGGCAGGAGCCCCGCGAAGCAAACAAATCACTCGGCAGACAATGTACATGTCGGTCGGACGGATACTTCCATGTCCTGGCTCGAGCTTTTATTGTTCGCCGGAGTGGCCGCTCTTCAGCTATCGATTGGCCATTTGACGTGGAGTGCCTCCGCCTTTATTAGCTGTTTACAGTGCCAATTAAAGCGTAAAAATTAAATACGAGCATCGCGTGCTCCGCCATTGCATACTTTGTGGGGCGAGCTGCCTGAAGGGGATTTGTTTATTGGTTTTCGGTATTCGGTTTTCGGTTTTCGGTTTTCTGCTTTTGGTTCTCGGTTTTTGCCGCTTGCCTGCCGCTTTGCGAGCTAAGTTATTTATAATTATTCCAGCCAGCCACAGCTCAAAAGCAGTGCACAGAATAGAGAGACAGGCGAATGACAAAAACCTTGACAACTTTGCAGTTTTGCCAAAGTTTTATGATAAGTTTTTCATCACAAGACGCCAGGCATGTCGTGCCAAGAAACCAAACAGACATTAGGCCACCACTCGGCGGCGGGGAGGGGGAGGGGAGTTGGAGCGGCCCATCAGAGGGCATTCCCTGGCAAAAACCGACATCACAATGGCTGGCTGTCATCCCGGATCCTGCACCATGGGTCAAAACGAACAACGAACGAACCACCAACTGGCACGCCACGGGACGCAAACTACGGCATCCCGGCTCCAGCCGCATGGGCAGGCCATTAGGTTGCCGACTCATTTGCGGAGTTTCGGGAACCCCCGGTTGAGGCATCCACCTTCGCACAATTAAAAGGAAATGCCTTGCTGCTGGGAAGCATGCGGGGTATTCCACAAATTAAGTGCAGAGATCTGTCCACATGAACATATTTGCGAAGAAGGAGCACAAACATATTTTAAACGTATTTTATTATTCACTTATTTATTGTCCCTATACCATTTATGAGTTTCTGGTGCTTAAAGTTCTCCCTGGGCTGAAATCCCTCCCTTTAATATTTGTTAACTGAGATTACTTAAGCCGTACTGATACCAAACAGGTCCTCCCAGATCGTTTGATTAAACCAATTCCTCGCGCAAATATAAACATTATTGCAGGCGAAGGAGCACACTCCGCTCCACAGAACATATTTGCTTTTAATGACCCTGCGCCCACAGTGCCCACATCGAGGAATCAGATGCGACAGCCTGAAATGCCTGTGGAGCGAGGAGCAGTGAAAAGAAATGTCGCCGGATGTCGTCAACGCAACGAGAGCGACAGCGACTGGTCGCAGGGAAATGGGAAATGGGAAATGGGAAAGCCGCAGATGGCAGCTGCCAGCTGGCAGGGAAAACAAAAAGAGCCAAAGTTTGTGACGAACATCATGGACTTGTTAAACACGTGTAGTTGGCACAACAGCCTGCAAAAATCAACAGGGAACTTTAAACTCTCGCCGTTAATTGGGAGTCGAAAAGCAAGTGCCTGCCTCCACTGAATATCCTTTGGCTAAGTTGGCTAATTTAATTCCGGGGAAATCCATTTCAAACCCGAATGACCAGCGGCACTTGGGACCCCTTTCAAGTGCCCAACTGCTTGAGTTTGGCACATGCATCAAATCTTTCCATCTAAACGGGCCAACTTCCGAGTCGAGTGGATTTATCTTTCGGCAAATAAAGTTGCCTGCAAATCTTTGCCACCGCCCGGGGAAGTTGACTCCGGAAAACGGCAGACTGACTGCCTGTCAGCTACCCGTAACTATGTCTCGCTTTTAAGTTCCTCCGGGGCCGGACGTAATTTCTAGTACATTAAACCCTGGCTGGCAGGCAGGAGGCATTAAGATTCATGCGTGCGCAAGCCGGAAATCTTTATTAGATTTAACCGCAGCTCACCATGGCGTATGCGTGATGTCCTGCTGACCTTGAGTGGGTTACCTCGCCGCCTCCCCCTCCCCCTCCACACTCATCAAAATTACAATGGCCGCTTTGGGGAGCAGGACATCATGCGGCTCCAGGTGAGTGTTTCCCTCGCTTTCGGTCGAGAGTGAATTCTCCCGTCATCACTCAATTTATCATCCGGCGAGGGGAGCGGAAAAAATGTTTCCGCTTTTCCGTTTTTTCTGCTTTTCGGTGCGCTCTCTTGGAAATGTCAATTTAAGCTCGGGTTTGCCTTAATTATGTGAGTTGTTTTTTCGCCCTCCCGCCGGAATAGCGGGCATTTATTTATTCAAGCAATGACAACAACGAGGAGATGGCTTTTGCATCGAATTACAATGACGTTTGGGGGAGTTATCTGCGAAATTGATTGATGACGCTGTCACGGCCAAATGTTCGGGTATTTCTTGTCGCACACACACTCGTACACTCGCACACTCGTCACCTGGCGAGTAGGGGGAGTGTTCGATTGAGCCGTGCCAAAAGAGTCACCTGTCAGCGGCGACACTTAATGGTTTCTGGATCAATTCCACAATAAATCCAATTTGTTGACACGGGCAAGTCAAAGCATTGCACAATGCCAAAGCCTCAACTCTTTTGCGTTTACTCTTGACTTTAATGGGAAGGCTGCCATGGAAAACCAACTGATCAATCAAACAACAAAATTACGAATATATTTGTGGTTTTTGCGAGCCTTGAATACACTCTGTTTCCGCAAAGGGCTTTTTGCACTTCCCCTCCGCCACCATGGCCGTCCATCATTTACATCCGTCAGTGCAAAAAAGCCAAAGCAAATGCCCAGCACAACAACAGCAAATGTAACAAATGGTTTTCCAAGGGCTCTGCGGCGATGATACGAAAGCATTTAAATTAAATGAAAACAATGTTTTCCGTCCGATTGCAAATCCATGGGAAAGCCCCGAAGATAAGCAAACAGCCAGAGCAAACAGCAAACAGCACACTGGGACTAAGACAAAGCAAACAGCCGGAGTGGAGTGGAGTGGAGGGCAGTGGAGTGGAGGACAGTGGAGTGGAGCCAACAAAGGGATCGTGGGCGAAACGGCCGCAGAAACAATTTATTATTTGTGATTTCCCCCCGAAAGTGCCAATATGCAGGTCGTCTCTACGAACCGAATAAATAATGGAGTCGGTAAGCAGGCGGCCCAAGATGCCGAAAGTTAGGAGCTGTGGCCGAGAGAGACCACAGAATCGACTGGAACCGGACAGCAAACAAATCCGAGTGGACTGGCCGTCAGGATGGCAAGACGTTCTACGTTCGACATTCGATCAGGTTCGGCCGAACGGGTGCTTCATCCGTCATCTCGGAGGTCAAAGGGCAGTGCCGAGTTTAAGCTGCGAAATCTGCCGCCTCTCGTGCGATTTCCCAATCACATTTGGCGCTGGCCAGCGGCCTGAGCTCCGGTTGCACCCGAATCCGTGGCCAATGCCCATCGGACCACCGACCTTTTTGCGCCCCGAAACCCGGTGAAATATGAAAAGTGCGGGGCGGAGGGTGGGGAATCATACGGCAACACCAAGGCTCAGGCCACTTGGCCTCTGGGAGTTTATGGAAGAGCTTAGCAAACAAAATTATATTCAATTTCCTTTAATGGCCACCATAAAATAGCAGTCAGCAAAAGTAAAGCCGGCCAAAGCCGCCACGGAAAAGTAGGCGTTGCGCCGCGAACTTCCGAAGGCAGAAATCAGGACTCCAGGACTCGCGCAGTTATCCTCCATCCTCGGCGCTTTTTGTTAGGTAAGCAACTTGTTTGAAGTACTTTCGGTACTTCACAATGGATTATGTTTGGATGTATGTTTATCACAAGATATGAATATTCCATTTGCCGAGCCGAGGCCGTCAGACAACAGCAGTTGCCGTCGTTGGCCGTGTGAAAAACGATTAGGCATACGCCCCGTTGTCCGCTCCATTTGCCCCGATTCGCCTCGCTTCACCGCGGCTGCGAGCTGCGAGCCACTTTCCTGTTCGCCTCCTGGCCTGTCAGCCTTGTCAACCAAATTGTTTTGGTGACTTAAAGGACAGAGCTCGAGAGAGCTACTCAAACAGCACATAGACTATCAGTTCAATGTGGAGGAACCACTTCACAATTAAAATATTTAGATAGGCTGTTTAATCTGAATCGTTTCCCTCTTCTTGCAAAGTAGTTCGTCCGTCAGAAGCAGTAATAAGTAGAGCTACTCAAATTAAAGACACCTATTTTGCAGCTCCAGTCGGCTTTATAGCACCAAGCAATTTAAAAGACTTTACGGTCCAACATCCGAGTGGCTTAAACACGTTTTATGAAGTTTTCAAATCAAACTAAAAGCAGGCTTGGTTAAAGTATTTATCCTCCTTTCGGCAGGAGGAGGGGGCCCTCGAAGGACGGACTTTTAACTATGTCGTTGCCCAAACGCCGAGCATCTAAGCTTTGTGTCGGAGACAACATAATCCAATAGATAGAGTCAACAAAGGGGAGTGTTTACTATTAGGTTTATCGCTGGCTAAACCAGACGCAGAACGGGCGAGTTTAATGCGAGCCGTTCGCATTTTTATGGTCCATTTCCAGCTGCAGGCAAGCCTGAAGTCCGGAACCGTTAATACATCAAACTCAAGCGTCGTGACAGCCAACTTGCCACGGCCTTATCTCCCTTTGCGGCTCCGAGATAGCGACACTTGTCGGATCGGGGAAGGGGAAGTGGGGATGGCAGTGCCTGGGCCTCAGCCCCAGACAATTCGATTGACATGAAATGAATTGTGAAATTAAACAGACTGCACAATGACAGCCGCAGAAAGGAGGGAGAGCTGAAAAGCTGAGGAGCTGAGGAGCTGAGGAGCTGAAATGTTGAAAAGCTGAAAAGGATTCCCGAATGGGGCCACAAATTGCTAAGTGATTCGCAGCGAAGCGGGGATGGGGGCATCGGCCTGCCAGTTGCCTGGCAATAAAGATGGCCCTTAAAAAGTCAACAGCGAGGAGCATTAAACCGAGTGAGAACGGTTCGGAGTCGTCCTTGACTTTCTGTTATTTCTGCGGGCTCGTCGGGATCAACGCCTGTTTGTTGGCACCACAAATATGACACATTACCCTGTAAGCCCGCCTCCCCCTTGACTTACCCCTCGATTCGGAGAGCCGGAACAGAGCTAACACCATTGAGCAATTAGCGGGCTTGGGCGGCCAAAGAGATTTTCCGACTGCATGGAAAACTATTCACGCGCGAGCTTTAATCAAAAAAGCATTCGAGGCGAATGGCACACAAATCGCACTGACACACACTCACTGCACCAACAAATATCAATCAACAATTGCGCCGCCGAGAGCATGCAACAATTTCCATTTCTATTTCTATTTCTATTTCTATTGCTATTGCGATTTCGATTTTCGCTTCCTTTGTGCCGGGCCACGCGGCGTATGAGCAATACGAATGGCAATCAATTTGCATCGAGTTCGGCACGCACTGCCTCAATTATTCAAAAGACCGTTACGCCAGTTCAGATTGGAGTCGAGTTTCGGATGTCGGCTATTGGATATTGGATATTGGATAGAGGATTGCCCAGAGTCGCAGCCAAGCGCCTCGTTGGACAGCCGATGTCGCACTGGAGCCTCAGCGGGGACAGCAGCTCGCTTTTGGCGGAACCCGGTGGCCCAATGGGTTCCACTCGAAACGGCGCACGCGCCTGCTGCTCCAGTGGATGTCGTTTTGAAAACATTGTAGCCGTTTTTCAATGGCCCCAAAAAGCAGCCAAAACAGCCAAAGCAGCCAGCTTTGCGGGAACAGCAGTTGCAATCGCAGATTTCAATTATGCATTCCCTCCTTTCAGGCGATCCGGGTGGGTGGTCGAGTCCTGGCGAGGACGCCTTTGTTCCCGGAACGGCAGGCGCCTTAAGCTGCGGACTCCCTTCTGGCAGAGGTGTCCGAGCAATCGTTTCGCCCGAGCCAAACGACAAAACACGTCGCCGTCCAAAGGCGGTTAGCTGAAGCGGGTTGAAGTGGAGTTGCGGCTGACTAGGAATACGTGGCAGCAGCTTAGGTGTGAGCATATTTTATGAGCTTCACCCCGAAAATTCCGGGCTGCTATTCAAGCAATCCTAGCCACATACCTGTGAAGTCCCAAGGCCTGCAAACAAAACGTAAAGGTTAAGAATGTCATAAGTCGACGACCTGCCTTTTTATTATATTTTATAATATTTGAAAAACACAATTAATTCAAACTATTTTTCCAACAGGGTGGTAAAATGTAATTAGCATTAAACGACCTTCCAAATTAGAATGCAAATTTTGTAGTTTTGGCAACCAATTTGGGTTTTAGCTATTTGCTATTGGAGGACCCTCTCGAATTCAGTTAGCGCAGGGACCTCGCTCTGCAACCTCTCAATTATTCCATCTCATTTCGCCGGGAATCTGTCCTAACATTAATCTAATACCTTTATCTGTGGGTGCAAACCTTTCCCTTTCCCTGCGGTCCAATGAGATGCATAAAATGCGTGCACAGTTGGCGACCCAAATGCAATTTCGATGGCGTCCTCCTCCGCCGGATCCCCTCCAGAACCACTTTGTGTGTATATCATTACCAGTGCAGCGGAATGGACGAGGGAATAATTGAATTTGGCCAAGACGAGTTAAAAGGCGATTGCCGGCGATTCAGCGCTCGATTTATTTGCTAACATCGTGGACCGCTGGCTGCGTGGAGAATTTACATGCTCGAGGGACTCCTTGGAGGCCATAAATCCTCGCTCGGTCAATCGTCACGCTCCGGCGGTTGGCTGGCTATCTGGGAACCGATGGAGGGATCCAGTTTCAGGGGCTGCTAATTATGAACCTCGTTAGCCGGACAGGCGACCCTGCTGGTGCCTCTCCTTTGGGCAGGAGGCGACCAGGACATAACCAGGTGACTACATCAACATCGGGCTAACAACCATAATTAATGAGCTTGGGCATAAATCACCGGCAGGCCAATCAAAGTTGTCTCAATGCCCGTTCGTCAGGGATTTGCCAGCAATTTATCGCATCATGCAGTGGGCACCCTCAGCAAACCGCCCCCTTATCTTCGAACGGAATGGAACGGATTTGGGGCTTCCCTCTGCCGGGCTGCAATTAATGCCCCAACAAACCGAACGCCCGAATTTGCTTAGCCCTTCATTTGCCGTCCGACTCAGAAAGCCAATTATTCGGCTGCGGCTCTTGGGGCCACTTGTCGCTGCACCTTGGCGTTCGAGGCACGTCCGTTGCAACACTTTTTCTGCCCCCCCCTTCCTTCCCTTCCCCTTCCCCTCCTTCTCCCATCTCTTCTTCCTCCGCTCGACGTTCGATGGACGATGGACGACTTTATTTGCGTCTTCTGCGACACGCGCCACTGGCTCAAATTGAGCACCAACCAATTGTTCCAGACCGGACTCCCCCCCTTCCCCTTCCCTCCTCCCTGCCCCTTTAGCTGGCCCTCTTTGCATGTCCGTTCAGCTGACAATTACAACACATTCGATGCCGTAACTGCTGTCGCTCGGCGTTGCTGCCTTCTTTGGGGGCATGCTTGGTTTCTGGGGCACAACCAACAGCACATCACTTGGAATACTCTTTTAAAAGATTTCAGAAACTAATGGGATTTGAACCACATTACTTTAGGTCTTATGACTAATTGCAGTACAAACTGCTCTGTGCACCCACTGAGTATCCCCAAGTCGAACCCCAAGAGCACACGATTCGGCTGCTCGGCGAGGATGTTTATTTAGCATGCAGCTGGCAAGACGCGCGTCAGCGTCCATTGAGTCCCCAAGGATCTAATGGCTGCTCGGCAATAAAGCGCTCGTTGCATGTGTGTGTGTATGCCAGTGTGTATGTGAGGCTGTCGGAGTGTGAGTGCGGCGGAAAAGGACCTCCCCGCCGGCAACAATCAGTGGCTGTCGCTTAAAACTTCTCTTCCGCGCGATTCCGCCGCTCTGCCGATAATATCCTCGCCTAATTGCCCACACACGCTCGCATTTCGCATTTAAGTTTTCAGATAAAGTAAGCGCCGTCGGCCAGTTTTCTGGATGGAGTTGTAAAACACGTTCATGAGTGCGGGCCCAAAGAGATGGTAATCGGTGAGGTAACTAATGCTAAATAAACGCGAAATACGCATCCGAAAGCATTGTTCCGCTCGAATGGCGCACTTAAAGATTTAAGGGAAGTTTTAGCAGCTTTAAAAATATACACCACAAAATCACATAGGGGAGGGGAGCAGGGATGGAGGGGTGGAGGGAGTGAGGGGTGGCCACCACATGACCGGAACCTGCTGCACGCCATTTTGCTTGGGCAAACACGAGCGCCGAGCATGTTGAACCATGATTAATACGTGTTGATAAACAGTTATTGTAATTAATCGCGCTGCGGGCGTCGCTTAAATTTAAATCAACTCCCTTGGCCAACCTAATTGGCGCGACTCGTAGTCCGAGGTCCGTGGTCCGCGTGGATTTGAATTTGGCGCCACTGCCACTTTTACTCCACTTGCAGTTGGCAGTGGCAATGCATTTATCACTCGATTTTCCAGCGGGCAGGGCTTATCTGAAATTAAAAATCGCTCCACCTGAATTTATGTCAGCACTCTGGCTCCAATACTTCGCACACATCGCCGCCGCTCCTTGGTCCTTTGAAGTCGTGTGTCCTATTGACGTTGCAATGCGCCGGGCCACTTGTTAGCCACAAACAGCAACAAACTTTTCCCATAATTAAAAGCCAACACAACTTCTGGCCTGTGCCTGGCGAAAAGTTCCCCGACATATCGGAGGACAAAATGCGAGCTTCTATTAGCAAATTTCAGCATGTTTCGGTCAATTTGTATGGATCCCATCCATCCCGTCCGCATCCATCTCCATGGAACTGGTCCACCTTTGTGCGGAAGTTTCACATGGCGACGTTGCATATTTCAAAGGGTCCGCTGATGAGACAAAGCAATGGAAACTGTAGGGGGAGGGAGGAGAAAGGAGACAGGAGTAGAAAACAATACCGACATTATTTCCTTCGCAACAAATTTCCCGGTGTTCTTCGTCGTAACTTCGCCAAAAGAGAGACGCGACTGAAGCGCTGTCTAATTTGTACTGCTGAAAACCCTACTCGCTCGAAACTACTATTTATTTAAAACTGAACTCGTATCCACTTACCGATGGCAATCTGGATCTTATCTCTCGCACTCAATCTTATTACCCTTCTCTAACCTCTTGCATTGAGCAGCTTGCAGGATTTACCTAATCTCAAAGGCGGGGAACATAAGCGTGGTCACCAAATGATATAAAGTCCAGCAATTCTATTAATAATCAAACATAAAATTACAATTTAACGGAAAGATGAGTTCGGGAACTCAAACATCCTCTACGCGTGTAAATGCAGGAAGTAAATAAAGAAGACGGAAGTCCCATAGATAGATGGCGCTGTACAGCATGTAGAAACCGTGTAAGTATATGTAAAGAAACAACCAACTCATTCTGTAAGATTACGCGCTTGACTTAAATGTAGGGTAAAGTATTGTTACCATAAGAGCCTCACTTCCGCTTTAGCCGCCAATTGAAAGTCAAAACTCTTGCGAGTCCAATATTTTAAAAACACATTTGCAATGTATTGTGCAAGAGCTAAAGGTACTTAATCATACATTTTTACATAAACAGAATATACGTATATAAAAGCATCTCAACGTCGCCGAGTGTAAAATATCAAAGGCCTCAAGTAACAGTAAAAGTAAATCAACCGAGGGGAACGAAGGGTTAGCTGCGATTTGTGCGGACAGAGATGTGCGAAACGCTCACACCAAAAGCAGCGGCCTCCTATACAAGTGGAGGACTACTACCAATACCAGCGAGATTTCAAAAATATGTGTGTGTATATATTCAATCGAGGATTAGCATCACATTACTGGCACTCGTTACATTGAAGCAAATTCCCTCTGTTTCCGGTTCCGTTTGCAAGCACTTCACATCGAGATATTGCGAGCTGCCCGGCGGAGGCGCTCCCCTCTACTTCTGGCCGAGGTGGAGCTTGCCGAGCAGGGCGTTGGCCTGCTGCCCGGCGGACTCCTGGGCCTGCCCGGCCGCCTCCTGGACGCTCTTCTCGACGGACTGCCGCTTCTGGTCGACGTACTGGTTGGCCTCCTGCAGCTTCTGGTCCACCGCCTGGCCGGTCTGCTTGAGGGCCCCGTCGATGGCGCCCTCCGCCTGCTTCAGCTTCTGGTCCGCCACGGTCTCGGCGGCCTTCACGCTCTTGTTGATGGCGTCGTTGGCCGCCTTCTTGGTCTGGTCCACCGCGTTGGCCGCCGCCCGCTGGGAGGCCTCGGCCACGTTGGCGGCCGCCTGCTTCGAGTTCTGGGCGACGGCCTGCGCCTGCGCCACCGTGTTGTCCACCGCCTGCCTGCCCTGGTTGACTGCTCCGGCGGCGCGGTTCACGCCCTGGTCGATCGCTTGGCCAGCCTTCTGGGCCTCGGCGGAGGCCAGAGCGGCGGCTTCCTTGGCTGCAAGGAGGCAATTTAATATGGGTCCTTTTTAGTAAGTAGTTAATAATGCAATAACATTTCAGGAATTCAAGAAACATCTCAGAAAGAAACATATGTATATTATATATAGCTTTTAATGTAGAAGCTGCTCAGCATTATTTGAAAACGTTATCTAAAGCGCAAAAACATTTCTGAGAAATTCGAGTTGCGTCATCGGGTCAATTTGGCAATCCATTAATTATGTTTCAAAGTGGTTCTTTTCTTTAGATCAATTCTATTTATGAAAGATGTTTCTGAACAAGTTTTTTTCGAAATAGAAAGGTGCTTGTAAAATCGTATATGATCTTGTTTGTTATTACTCAGTTAACATTTTGGCTTTTCTTCTACGAGTATATAGTTTGAATTTAAAAATTATTAAGATGATATACATTTGCAGATTGTTAATCGTTAATCTTCCTGAATAATGCATTTAATTTTTATTTTATTTTATATGATTTTTTGAGCTTACCCGTGCTGGCGGCCAGCTGCTCGGCCTCTCCCTTGGTCTGCTGCACCGACTGGCCGACCTTCTTGGCCTGCTCCTCGGCGAGCTTCTGGGCCTCGGAGGCCTTCTCGTTGGCGAGCTTCTCGGCCTCGTCCTTCTTCTTGCTGAACAGGTTGGCCGTCTTGTCGCCGAAATTCTTCAACGAGGCTGGGGAGGAAGGGAGGGATTAGATCTCGGTGCGGCTGGGAAAGTCGGGTTACTTTGGTTCTGGCGGCTGGGAAACATGCTGACTGGCTCTCTGAATGCTAACTAAGCTCTGGGCTGGCGCCAATTATAATTTATAGCCTGATTTTAATCAGCGGGATTGGCCGCCGATCGGATGCGAGATTTCAGATTCCAAATTCCAGGCTGCTAATTGCCGAAACATAATCAGAAGCAAATCAGCTGAAGCATGAACTATATACATGACTCAAGTCGAACCCGAATCGATTACCGAATCGATTGGACTGGGACAGTTTTTTATATTAATAGAAACTGCGCAACTAGGGGCTGCTCAAATCGTGATCGAGCGCCCCATGTCGTCAGCCCCGAGTTTAAGGCAAATTAGCCGCTCAGAATACTACTCGCACTTAATAAGAATTAACGAGCGCCACTTTTTCAGTCCCTCGAATATGCATTCACTTGGAGTGACGTGAGCTCCCCCTCAAATAGAAACATTGTGCCACCAAATGGGGAATGGGGAATGGGCAACCGGGCGAAATGGCGAATCGGAAGCGGAATTTCTTTGTCTACAAATATTGGATACTATGTACCCGTGTATGCAAATATTTTGGTTATTCGGCGAATGTGATGTCATGAGTGGGCAACCACTCTCCACGCTTTCTGATTGCGATCGGGAATGTGTTTGTTCTAATTCGCTAGAGATACTTTAATGGCCCGCCACTCGGCCCATTTCGAAATAGTTCGTTTGCGGCCAATTTCATGCCGCGTTTAATGATCCACACGCCTCCGCGGAGGCTGCGATTTGTGCGAAGGTAATACGTGTAGAGGTATCGGATTGAGGAATGTGGGAATGTGGGATCGGTGGAGGTGTTAAAACAGTCTTCACTCGGTGAAGAAACGGGGTGCTCCAGAGGAATTTGATGGTTTCTAATGGCTATGGAACGCGTGTGGCATTGAACTTGCTAATAATCCAGGAATTCGGGTGGAATAATCGTGCATTCTACATTGTACTACTAATATTTATGTACAGAGGGTCATTCTTGTGTGTGCTGCTTTCGAAATTAAAATCTTACTAAATATACTCGTACTCGCACGCTATATCGCTATAGAGAGATATAAATTGCGAACTTAAATTCAAATGGATCTGAAGGGAATGCCGCATCTATAAGGCAAACTCCCCATTTGCGTTGCGTCTAGCCAAGTTCGTGCGTATAAAAGACGCACTTTTACGACCCAAAGCATTTGCGTAGTACGACGCATTTGGTTCTGAGCGGTCTTCGTTAGATACAGAGCTTGTGGTCAGTGCCAAAACCGGCTGGAAGCAGGGCCACAAGGTAACACAATCGGCCGAGAGCCCGGACCCACTCTCGCAGCCTCAGTCGCTTTTGTTTTTTTATTTTTTTCGACGTCGTTCCCGCACCGCAGATAATGCGCAGAAGCCTCTGAATAGAGGAAAACCTGTAGCCAGTACACGAGAACCCACTCACACTCATACTAACACTCACACTCACACTCATGCCAACACTCATACCAACACCCCTGCCGCCAGAGAATGAATCGCCGGATGAATATCTATGAGTAACTGCGATTCGAGGTCTGCCGACTCGCGTTCCACACCAGTTCTGGATGCCCAAAAGAGCCCACTCCGCATCCGAATCGATGGAGCTGCTCTCTGTTGTTGTTGTCGTTCATTCGGTTGCTGATGATGTCATGTGAGACACCACAGTGGAATGGAGACACAATGTGTGTGTGTGTGCTCGTACAGCAAACACTAGCAGCGCGTGGCAGAGAGCGGTGGCACGGAACTCGCACGCCCAACAAACCAACCAACCAACCTACCAACCGGTTGTGCCGACTCTCGGCAGTCGTCATCCGTTCGAAGGTCGCCTGAGTCAGCTGGCAGCGAGCCAGGAGGCCAAAGGATTCGTGTCCTGTCCAAGGGGGAATCCACGATGGCTGATGGCTGGTGGCTGATGTCATGGCCCGCCAGGTAAATCGATAATCGGAAAGAGCGAGGGCAGGTCGGAGTCAGACATCGGCCCTATTTACGAGTTACGGATTGCGGATTGCGGGTTGCGGGTTATGCTAATGACTATGAAGTCACTGGAGTTGATCGAATCGCGGAGTGCTATCCGCTGCTCTTTGGGAGGGGTGGGAGCCACTGGCGCCTCCCGCTAAGGCAATTAGCCCCGACCTTGCCAGTGAATTAAGCGGGTGAAATAGGTAGAGTAATTCGACAGAATTAAAACAAATGGACTCTTGAGGCGGAATGGAATGATGGCGGAAGATACTTGTGATTCCAGCTGTTACATACGCTTTCCGGCTTGTTTTCTCCGAGTGTAGCCAATAGGCAATTAAATTGAATGACCCTAAACCTGACCCACTGGCGAGCCAGCTAGTCAGCTACTCAGGCATTCCTCCGGAGCCACGAACTCGTAATTCGTAATTGAATTAGCCGGACGTTAGGGATGCCCGATGCTCCGCAAGAGGAGTCCAATCGATTGGACGCACTGCCGCCCGGCGGAGGATACAAGTAGAGGAGTGGAACCGCCGCTCCGGACAGTCTGTAGGCCGCCGCGATGAAGCACCTACTCACCGCACTCGTCACCCTGCTCAGCCTGCTGCCGCGGGACGAGGTCCTGGGCTCGGGACCTCCCTGTCCGCGTCGCTACCTGCGCAGGATCAACGGCAAGTGCTACTACTTCTCGGTGAAGAAGGTGAGGGTTCCCAGGATCTACTATCCACTACCCAGGACACTCACTCAATAGAGAAACCCCCTCCTTTCCTTCGCAGATGAACTGGTTCGGGGCACTGAACAACTGCCTGCGGAAGGGACTCACCCTGGCGGACCTGAGCAACCAGCGGGATTTCGACGGGGCTGTGGGCTTCCTCAGCGGGCTGGGCAACACGGAGGACTTCTGGTTCGGGGGCAACGACCTGTACCACGAGGGCCGCTTCCAGTACATCAGCAACGGGCGGCTGGTGCGCTACTACAGCAACTACAGCAACGTGCTGCCCGTGGAGCACTCCGAGTGCGACGACTGCCTGGAGGTGCGCGTCCGCTCCCAGATCAACATGGTATCGGCGGACAACTGCCAGGAGCGGCAGTACTTCATCTGCTCGGAGCGCTACTGCCAGGAGCTGGACGAGGGCAAGAAGCCGAAGCACCACAGCCACGAGCACCTCCACCACTTCCACCACGACGTCGGCGACAGCGGGGACGGCGAGGCGGAGGAGGAGGCGGCCGACCGCCAGGAGCCCATTGCCAGCGGGTCCGCGGAGCAGGAGGAGCAGGACTCGGAGGCGGCGGCCGCAGCACCGGACGTGCCGGATGTGGAGGTCCCACCTGAGCCGGAAGTGCCTGGCGGATCGCCAGCTCCGGGAACCGAAGCCCCCGGAGGAGCAGAGAACCCTGCGACCGGAGAGGGAGCCACTCCCACTGCGGCTGCCGGCGAGGGAGAAGCCACCACAGCAGCGGCGGCTGTAGCCGAGGGAGCCACCCCCGCCCCCGCCCCTGGAGGAGAAGCCCCCGCAGCAGCAGTGACTCCTGGCGCCGAAACTCCGGCTCCAGCCTGAGCTGTGGAGCACCGCCCCATCCAATCCCGTCCCTCCCCACGATCACAAATAAACGAGAGCCGAGCATAAGAACAGATCTTTGAGAATATCATAAACTAGATTAAATATCCTACAACTTGGATGCGTCACTGTAATTGCATTTGGAAGCTGTTTCTAGACTACACTTGACTTCATGGTTTGACTTTAATAAATTGGGATCTTTGAGAATATTATAAGCTAGATTAAATACAACTTGGATTCGCTACTGACTACACTTGACTCCATGGCTTGACTTTAATAAATTGAAATTCAGTAAAAACTATTTGTGTGTTTCTTTGTTTTAAAGCCCAACTTCAGTTTTAGTGATTAAGAGGAACATGTAAGGAACATCGAATGCAATGAGTTGGTTACTTCCGATGACTTATTTCTCAAACAAGTGAATATAGTGAATCTCAGACTAATTAGGTTTCAATGGAAAGCAATTGAACTATCCAGAATCCCAGAAGGGCCCGCTCATTTACAACTGATCTTCTTCCGATGTGAATGCCAGTCGAGCACCAGCATAATTGTGGCACTGGTGGGCAGTGGTAAAGCAATTACCAACCGAGTAGCGAACCAGCGCACCACCATCACAAATCGCAGCCAATCGATTCGACGAACCTAATCAGTGGAGGAAAGTGCAGTGGGAAACCAAGAAACTCGGGAAGGGAGTTGGTCATCCGCTAATGCAGATGTCACGCCCCCAGAAGGGTATATATAGAACAGGGGGCGGCCCGCATGGGAACAGTTTGCTGGACAGGTGGCTCAGTTCGTCTGGCAGCCATGCGGATCCTTCCAATCCTGATACTGGCCCTAATGGCGATCCACTCGGGCAGCGCACGCCGCCAGTCCAAGAGGACCAAGGACAAGGGTCCTTGCGGCAAGCCCTTCCTGAAGGAGATCAACGGAAAGTGCTACTACGTGGCCGTCAAAAAGGTGAGAAGCCACCGAGGAGCCTCGAGGAGAGCTCAACTTAAACCCGAATCCCTTGGCAGATCAACTGGTTCGGCGCCCAGAACAACTGCCTGCGCAAGGGCCTCAACCTGGCGGACGTGTCCACGCCGGAGGACTTCCACGCGCTGGTGCGCCACATGGAGGCCCAGGTGGGCATGGACGACTTCTGGTTCGGCGGCAACGACCTGCAGACGGAGGGCCGCTTCACCTACATCAGCAGCGGGCGGCTGGTGCGCTACATGGGCGACGACGGCATGGTGGAGCCGACGCACCGCTCCAACATGGACGACTGCCTGGAGATCCGCATCCGGCCCAACCGCACCGTCGTGCTGGACGTGAACTGCCAGGAGAAGAAGTACTTCGTCTGCGAGCGCAGCCAGGAGAAGTGCGCCGTGCCCGCAGAGGAAACCTCTGGCGACGGGCAGCACCACAGCCACGAGCATCTGCACCACTTCCACCACGACGCCGCCAAGAAGGAGAAGCAGGAGGCGGGGACCGAGCGGCCGAGTGTGGAGAGCGATTCGCGGCCAGCTGACAATTCGAATTCAACGGAGGTCGGTTCCTCGGAGGAGGCGGAGGGGGGAGAGGTGGGGGCGGGCACGGATGCGGAAGCTGGAGCGGAAGGCGCGGCGCCTGCTGGTGAGGGTGGTGCGCCAGCGGAGGGCGGGGCGGCAGAGGGAGCAGAGGGAGCTGGGACGGAGCCGGCGGAGGGAGCGGCGACCACAGCCCCTCCGGCGGAAGGCGCCGCTGCAGGGACAGCTGCTCCGGCGGAGGGAGCGGCAACCCCGGCCGGCGAGGCCACCACTCCGGCAGCAGCTGCTGTGGCGCCGCCGGCAGAGGGAGGAGCCACCACAGCAGCTCCGGCCTGAGCACCTCGACCCACCCACCCGGCTGACCCACAGCAACACACACCTCGGCGATCGAAGAATGTTTGAGCTTTCACAAAATAAAATCGAATTCTAATCAATGGATTATTGATTGTGACGAGAACATTGTTTGGAAACAGGTTCACGACATAAAATTAACCACTTTGGGATTTGTAAAAAAGGAAAACATCTTAATTTTGTGTATAAGAAAATATTCTATTTAAAAACCAAATCTGATTAGCCGCAAAAAATTACAAAAAATTCCCCAGGTATGGAATCACCTATCAAAGAATGTGTTCAATTTGTTTTCAAGTTCCGAATGGAATTCCTTAGGTTCTATAAGAAAACCAAAGCACAATAATTTCTGGATAGTTTATAAAATAAATTATTTAATCTCCAGGCATGCTTTAAAAAAAAAAAACAAATAAAAAGATGCAGCTACTAAGGTTGAACTACGCAGTCGGTGAGGAATGTCTAGGGCTGAATAACATTATCAAGTAAGCTAAATTCGTGGAAAGTTCACCAGTGGGGGTTACTTACATTTCGACGCATCTGTTTGGCATTGAGTGGGAACAGATAATAGTATTAGGTACATATAGAGTTAGCATATGATCTGTATAATAGAAATAGACGCCTATCTCGAGTGCCGATGCTTGAGTGAGCGCTTTCAAGTGGAATCTACTGCAGAAGAATTTCAGAAATCGGAAGCAAGACGGACGTTAGAACTCTGGTTTTTGCACCCACTTCAAAGAGCCAAGTGCTCCGTTCAAGGAACACCACGGAGCACGGCCCCTGAAGACCCGGAGTATATGTACGTATATATAATATGTTTCCACACAGCGCGTAGTGTGTATCTAGGCAGCTATAATTATATATACGTATCATCATCTTTGGGGTGTGGGATGTGCCAGCGAGAACGGCAACTTGTAGTCCGTTTGAAGCTACATATAACTGCGCCATAATTGGCTTACGTATCATCCGCAGCGTCGTCATCACCATCACCATCACCATCATCGGAGCCAAGCCAAAAGCCAGGCAGCAACGGTAGCGGCAATTAGCTTTAGCTACTGCCACCCGTATCGGATCGAACACGCCCGAACGGCCGCCCCGCCCAGTCCAGTCCGGTCCACGTCCCCAGTGGCCAGCTGCTCGGACTCCTGGCTTCCGACTCCTGGCTGATGACGGTGATGATGTAACTGGTGTTTACGGCCATCCTTGCTTGCAATGCTGTCATGAACTACCACGATTAACTCACTCACTGCACGTAGTAATATATATATATGTGTATATATGTCATACACAGCTGCACACAATGGGTACATACGTATGCTAGACCTAAGATTTCTAATTTCGAAACTTTCACATCGGCGATATGGGGCTTTCTTTACCTGAAATCGAGCTGAACATTTTGGAACTTTTGGTGCTTCTCGGTCCTTGGAGTCGGGGGAACTGATTCTCGGATTCTGTACTAGATCGCTTTGGAATTTGCGGCCAGCGAGCTTGTTATTTTCGGAGGAGCGCGTTTATTTTTAAACGTCCGACTGCGTCGAGAGCAAAGAAACTTATAAACTCGTATAGACTGTAAGCGAAAGCATGGTAGAATAAGTAAGGTAGTTGCGAGCGCCACCCGAGCGGCAGCGGGCTGAGCCCGAACCACCGATTCGGCAGTCACTGTCGTCCGCTAGAGGCGCTTTCCTTTTGCTGGTTAACAGATATTTAACATTGGACAACATTTTCCCAAACACTCCAACCGATATTCAGAACGTTAAGGGACTACACCCAAGAAAAATGATTGGAAGAAAAAATTGGAAGTGAAAGTCCGTTAACGTGTATTAATTTAAGACATATGATAGAATTTTGTTAAAACAATAATTTGATTAGCAATAAATATTTATTATTTAGAACAAAAAAATAATCAAATGGAAATTGCAGTCACTAGAATGAAATTGATTAAGCCATGGCAAAATGGATTTATCAGTTCCACAGCAGTTTAAGCTAATTTCAAAATCCGCTCATTACATTTCCACATAGAACCCAGAACAAAATGAGTCGACTGGTGCGATTTGTCTGCTGCCTTCCCATACTTTTGCTCCACTTGCATGTCAAGGAGGTAAATGCCAAGGGAATATGTCTCTATCTCAGCGAAAAAAGAGTAAGTTCGTCAAAGAAACTCAAAGCCATTCAAAGTTTAGCAACAACGTGCAACAGGCTTCTTGGTTTGAGGCCCTAGCTGTCTGCCAAAGTTATCGCATGTGCCTGGCTGACCTAAGCACCGAAGTCACCCTGATCCAGATGGAAGAAAAGTGGAACCCAGACGACCACGAGTATTGGTTCGGCTTGAACTCGCACGAGAAATTCACCTACAGATACGTATCCAACAACAAGTCGATTGAGTACGCTCCACGGAATTCTAAGCTCGCGAGCGAAGGACAGTGCGCCTTTGTGAAGCACGAACGCGGCTTTTACAAATTTGCGTCTGCGGACTGCTTCGACCATAAGAGGTTCATCTGCAGCAGAACCGAAATGTGCGACGGGGAAAACCTGAGGCATGGAGTGTCCCACTGTTCCATTTCCGAAGAGGAGAAACAAGTTGTAGCCCTCTAATTCGTAGATCGTAGTTCAAAGCACGCAATAAATGCTGAGGAAATAATATTTGTATGCCTCTGTATTCAGTTTGTGAAGCGGGCTTTGTTAAGGTTCCAATTGATACGTTATCCTACCTAGCGTTTAGACTCCGGAGGCTTTTCGCTTGACTGCTGACTTTAGCTGAGATACACGTGCTCGACACTTAGCCTTGTAGGCCTGAACCAGTCGACCCCCTGGTGAAATGGCAATTAAGGCATGAATCTGTGGGCGATAGGATGGCAATGAATTGCTTGTCTCACGCTGTGCACTGTCTCTTACCTCCAGATATTGCAGCTCTCTTTCGTACTGCAAACACTCCTCCAAGAGGCCCAGAGTGATTTTAAACTTTTCCGCTCCTAGGATGTAGGTCATTTCACCAATGTTCTGCTTGTACCACTTGGCATAATTGTCCAGATTTTTCTCAATATCCATCGTTGATGCCGTGGCAGCCCTTGCAGTCAGCAGCAAGTGGAGCAGGGATGTCAGACAGCCAGTAGAAGCGGTTTGCAAAAGTCTATTTTTCAAATACTCTGAAAAAATATACACAATATAAAAAAGCTAGTACTTAGGGGGTGAACCTTTACTTTTAACAAACAAGACGGTTTCTGGGTTTTCAGAGATGGCGATGGACTGCACTAAAATTAGGTAGAACCTCCAGTGCTTAAAGTTCTCCGACTTTGACTGTTTAAAAAGGTATTGGAGAACTTCCTCGTGACGTTCAAGAAAGAGCTGATAACAAACGCAAGTAAGAACATTTTTTTACTCTGTTATATAAAATCATTAAACCTTTTCACAGAGATGCTTCACAAAAGTAAGTTCGTCTACGCCCTCATTGATCCATGCGCTGAAATTTGCGAATGCTTCGGTAATACTCTCCGCTCGGTGAAGCTCCAGCAAGGTGCTTAAATGCATCTTTATACACAAACTTATGGCTTTATCTAATAAAAGTGTAAACTTATTAGGTAAAATTGACTCGGACTAGGGAGAATTACACACCAGGTAGAGCTTTTCGTAAAGGTTCTACGTACCCCAAATTGCTTATTTTGGGATTGTTGAGAAGGCCGGAGTAGAGGTTGCCCAAAGCAGCAGTAAGTATCTCTTTTAACCTCAACCCAGAGTCGACATCTGAAGGTGGACATAAGTTTAAGAGGGAAAGTGATAAGGATTGGCGTACTACAAACTGTAAGCCGCATATGTAAAAATATTTTCTAGAAGCTTAAACTCAGATTCCAGGAATATAATCATGTCCACCTGCAGTTGATCCGAGTCCTTCTTGCTGTGAATAAATGACAAGACGAGTTAATGATTACTTACAGCGCCAAACCTACCAGAGAATGTATTCAGTGGCCGTCAGGTAGCCGAGGTCCTGGAGCTGAAGGAGCACCCGGAAGCTTCCGACATTTGTGGGCAGCTGGCAAAAGAACTTGGCGGCCAGCATCTGAAGGTAAAGAAAGTTTGAATTTGAACCTTTATCATGTTAACTCCTCACCTTCTCCTTGGCATTTAGGATCTTCAGAAGCTGCTCAAACTCGAATTTTTCAACCAATCCTTGTCGCTGAACTCCGCACTGCTTTTCTATGGTCTGGATGAAAGATCTTGATTAATTTAATCAGCATGAATTTAGATTACGAACTTACCCTACAAACTAAGCCGAAGCTGTTGCCGATGTGCGAATATCTGTCGGAAACCTCTAAAATATCCATATTTCGCGGTTAAATCTAAAGTAAACACTCTTTATTTTTTGTACCGTTCGCAGTGTGACCGTAGGTTTCTAAAAAAATACGAAATATACCCAAACTTATCGATCGTAGAGTGGCTTAAATAATATCCGTTACACTTTAAATCATTTTCAAAGAAAATCAAGTTAGCTAAAAAAATGCTACAATGTATAATTATTATTAAATCTTCTGGAATTGAAAACTCTTTTATTTTGATTCCGAGCGCCTATATTTGTTTTACTACCTAGCTTTAGCAATTAGCTTATCCTTTAGATACATTATTTAGATACGTTCCGTAGAACTTTAAGAAATTTATCTTAGTCTATTGATATTATTTAAAGTGTTCTTAACATTAATATTTGAGCTTCTTTGCTTGGAGTTCCCATGGGTTAATGATGAATAAGGGATGTCTACTTGACGCAGTAATCCTTGCGCTGCTGCCTGATCACCGCGTTCAGCTTGAGGCACTGCTGACGGAGGGCATCGTTGTCGCCCTTCAGGATCTCGATGGTCTCCTCCTGCCGCTGGATGGTCTGGTGCACCCGCTTCTGGAGCTGCTCCATTTCCTGCTTGTGCCGCTCGCTAAGCACTCCGAGCTCGCTCTGGATGTCCGCGTTGAGGTTTTCCCGCAGCCGGTCCCGCTCCATGATGATGTCGCCGCACATCTTCTTGCTGTGGCCGAGCTCCAGCTGGAGCTGCTGCACCTCCGCCTGGCTGTTCCGCACCTGGGCGTCCGCCTCCGCCAGCTTGCCGCGCGTCTCGGCGTACTTCTCCCGCAGCGACTTCTCCACGCTCTCGGCCAGAGCCAGGTCCTTCTCATGCTTCTCCTTGAGCCGACTGAAACCGGAAACAGGAATATCTCTAATCCAATCCAATCCAATTCAATCCTAAGGCTGGCTCTACTCACGTGATCTTCTGCTCGTGCTCCTCGCCGTGCTGCAGTGCATCCGCCTCCATTCGCACCACCAGCTCGTCCAGCTGGCGGTCCCGCTCCGCCCGGTAGTGCTGCCTGATGGCGTTCTCCTTCTCCGCCTGCGCCAGCTTGGCCCGGTTCTCGTGCTCCGCCTTCCACAGCTCGAAGTCCGCCCGGTACTGCTGCTCGATGGTGTTGACGCGGTTCTGGTACTTCTCCTCCTGCTTGGCCATGCGCTCCTGCATATCGAACCTGGCCTGCTCCAGCTCCTGCTCCTGCTCCCGCAGCGCCTCCTGGCGGCGCGCCTGGTGGTCGCTCTCCCGCTGCCGCAGCTCCGCCTGGAGGCGCTCCCGCTCCGCGGCGAACTCCTCGGTGAGCTTCTGGCGCTGCTCGGCCTGCGCCCGCTGCTCCTCCTCCAGCTGGCGCTCGAAGCGCTCCCGGATGGCCGCCCGCTCCTTCTCGATCACCGCCTCGCGGTCCTGGGCGCAGCTCTCGCGGATGCCCGTCTCGATCTGCTCGTGCTTCGTGCGCGCCTCCTCCAGGGCGTCCAGCAGCTGCATCTGGTGGGCGCGCTTCAGCTCGGTCACCTCGCGCTGGTGGTCGCAGTTCATCTTGTTGATCTCCGCCTCCAATCCCTTGACAGTGAGCTCCTTAAAGGGACAATAGATGAGGCATTAGATACAGAGGGAACCCCTCCTAACCGCCTACCTTGATCTTCTTGGTGTTCTCGCGCACCCAGCGCTCGCGCCGGATCTTCTCGCCGGCCATGGTCGTCTCCTTGGTCCTGGCCAGCTCCGTCTCCAGGCGGTGCTCCCAGGCCTGGTTCTGGCTCTCCAGGCGGCGGGTTAGCGCCGCCACCTTCTCGCAGAGCGATCCCTTGTCCTTGAGCAGCTGCTCGATGAAGCCCTGGTGGCGGGTCACCACCTCCTCGTAGTGCTTCTTCTGGTCGCGCAGCTTGGCGGCCGCCGAGGACTTCTCCGCCCGCAGGCTCTTCTGCTTCTCGCCGCGCAGCTGCAGGACGTGCTCCTTGGACAGGTGGATGGCGTTGGCCAGCTCGTTGGCCCGCAGGCTGAGGGCGATGACCCGCCTGGCCAGCTGGTGGTTGGGCAGCATCAGCAGCTCCGAGAGCCTGGCAATGCGTTCGGAGATAGATCAGATAGCTAAGGACTCTAAGGTCTTCACTCACTTTGGCACCTCGTCGGTGACGTCGGGCTCCACCACGAACTCCACCTCGGATCGGTTGCTGTCCGGGATGGAGCGACGGGTTTCCATCAGCGTCTTGTCGCAGCTGCTCTCCACGTTGTTCAGATACGCCAGGATGTCCCTGTTGGGAAGGGTTCAAGGTGAGATGATCGGGAGAAGATCCCTGTTATTTCCTCACTTGTACTTGTCTCCGCTCTCGGGAACTGCTCCCTCGCTGTGGGTCGTTGTTTCGGCGGTCTCGCATCGGGAATCCAGCTTCAGGTTCAGCTCACTGGGAATGCGCTCTGAAAAGTTGTCTGGAGAAGAGCAGAATATAGCCGATCCTTAGCCGCACGCGCCCCCCAACTCACCCCTCTTTTTGTCCTCCTCGATCTCCTTGATGACGGACACGATCTCGTCGTACGTGGAGTCCCTGGAGTCCTCGTTCGACTTCAAGGAGAGCTGCGAGGCGGAGTCGTTGTCCTGGCCCTCGTCCAAGTCCTCCAGGCCTCGCTTGTGCTCGAACTGCTTCTGCTCCTGCATGCTCATCCAGCTGTCCACCTTGTCCAGGTTGTACTCCGTCAGCTTGCGCTCCTCCCGCAGGCTGCCCACGCTGATGGCCTTCTTCAGCTTCCCCAGCGGGGCCGATCCCGGCTTGGTCCCCTTGCTGGACTTGCTGCTCCTGGCCACGGGGTCCGCGCTGGCGGGCTTCACGTTCTCCTTCTTCTTGCCCACGAACGGCGGAGTGGAGGCCACCTTGAGGTAGTTGCTGATCACCGACTCGGAGCTGCCGCTCCCGAAGGCCCTCCTGTCGTCCTGCACCGCCGGCAGGAAGTTGCTCTCGGCCCCGAAGTTCCTCTGGTTGGAGGCGGATCTGTAGGAGGCGGCCCCGCCGTTGGCGGAGGAAGCACTGGTGACCTGGTTCCTGGTCTCGGACAGGTTGTTCTGCTTCTCCTTCGGCGGAGAGGCGTACTTGTCCAGGAAGTTGCAGCTGGGGAGCAGCTCGATGTTGTTGAGGGTCTCGCCTCCCAGGTGGTTCTTCACCACCTGGACGGCCTGCTTGTACTCCCTGATGACGTTCAGTTCCGGGGTGGGGGCCTCTGGAACTGTCTCTGGAACCGGAACCTTCCCCGGGGAGGAGGAGGAGGATGACTCCGCGAAGCGGCAGCTGGGCGCGTCGCAGGCGCACTTGGCCTCCGAGGCAGAGGCCTCCGTGGTGCTCGTGGTGGAGGAGGAGCGCGTGCTGCAGGTGCAGTTCTCCGAGGGGCACTTGGGGTACTCGTAGGTCTCGGCCAGCACCTCCCCCTCGGCGGCGGCAGAGGAGCCGAAGTGCACGGACTTCTTCTGGCCGCCGGAGTCGGCCGGCTCCCCCTTGCCCAGGAAGCTGGGCAGCGCGAGGGGTCCGGGAGCAGAGATGCTGGGCCGCACCTCCTGCTTGTCATTGTCGCAGTCGCTGGAGTCCAGGTCCGCGTGCACGTTGGGCTTGCTGAAGGAGACCCTGCCGGGGAGGTCCGGCTTGGCGGTGCGCTGCAGCAGGGCCCCGCTGCTGAGGCCCTGCGCGGAGGGGAAGGAGGCCGCCATGGCCACCAGGTGCTCCAGGTGCTCCCCCTCCTCGCTGCTGTCGGGGGTGCGCTTGTGCAGCGAGTAGTCCGACTCGGAGGAGTTGCAGGTGCTGCGGCAGAGCCAGCTGCGCTTGATGGGCTCCTCCAGCAGGGACTTCAGCAGGTCGTTGGAGGACACTTGTCGCTGGAAGGGTCAGTTACGTCACTGAACAATCGGGGAGTGGGAAGAACGGAATGGGGAGTGGGGAGTGGGGAGTGGGGAGCACCTACCTTGTGGCGCAGCTCCTTGTCGACGAAGAAGCTGCCCAGACGACGGCCGCACTTGGGGTCCGCGGACTGCGGTCTGCCCAGGAAGGGCGAGGAGCGGCTGCGCTGCTGCAGGAAGGTGGCCGAGCGGGGCCGGAAGTGTGGACACGGGCTGTGGAGGGTCGTCAGCGAGCGAGCGGCGAGCTTAGGCTTCGATTTCTGGCGGGCGGCGAGGTTGATCTGCGAGCCCCTAAGACATAGATCCATAATAGCTTCTAAGCTGGGCCCGCATCTGGATTCTAGACGGTTGCTGGCGGCTGAGTAGCTGAGTTAGTTGCCATCGCCTACTGCCTTTAGAGCCGGACTGACTCCAGTTCTCCCGGAGTTGGCTGCGCCCAGCGGAAACCGCCACCGTTCGTATCGATTAAACGCATGTGCTCGCCACGAGGGTCAGATGTTGGTCAGCACTGCAACCCCCGAAGCCGAGGGCAGTTGACATGGTTACAGCACCACCTCAACCACCTCAACCAGCTCAACCACCTCAACGACTCAACGAACACACCTGACCCACCCCCACTCGGCGGAACAGGTGTCGCGTCCCCTCCATGATTCACCACTCCAGTCCCACTCCAGCGAACCACTACTTCGTTACGTAGTTACTGTTCGTGCACCGCCATCAATCACTGATTGGGACGACCAGTGGCAGCGGGGCAATCAATCACGGAGGGCCCTGATTGCGGCTGGAGCTCACCGGAGCGAAGGTCACGGCTCGGGTTCAATGCCAGACCCGGCAAACACTTTCGGTTTCGGTTTCGTTCGCCCACTCCCTGAGCTCGTGGTCTCGACATTCCCAGGGCGTTCAGTTCAGATAGCTGGCCTACCTGGTATCTCCCGACTTAGCAGGCATTACCCCGAATAATTACAGAAATAACACTCGCAGCAAGTCGGCCAAATTAGCCAGCGAGGTCTGGAATGTAGATCTATCAATTTCCCTATCGCGATGGCAATTCGCTATATAAGACCCTTCGAGTTCTGAGACAACATTCCCCGCAGACAATTGCCGTCCGTCCGTGGAAACAAACAGCGTTATCTCTGTGGAACAAGTCAGCGGGGTAAACAACTCCAAGCTGTAGATAGCTATCGCAGCTATAGGCACCTACCGATCTACCGATCCAATTCAAAGTCGCGTTCTCAATAATAATAATTTATTTAAATAAAGCAAGTGGTGTCTACTGCAACAACGTAGTTTGGTTTAGCAAGTCCCAAAAACGCGCTATTGGGGACCGGGCCTCCTTGGGTGGCTCCTCGGGAACTGGGCTCACCACTCGATGCTCCCCCGATACTCCCATCTCGATACCCCCTCGGTACTTGGTACTCGATACTCGACTCTCGATACTGACTGATGCGCGAAGCATAAAATTAAATTTGGCAACATTTCTGGTAATCAACTTAGCAGCTAACACAATACAATACAATAGTTGAAGGTGTCCGGCGGACAAACGAATTGCACTACTCCTGCTCCTGGCCCTCGTCCTCGTCCTCGTCCTCATCCCCGATCCTGCTCATCGATCCTAGTCCGCCCGCAGGACGGGGGTCACCTGGACCTCGTTCTGCTCGTCGCTCTTGATGTCGAACTTCAGCTTGGTCAGCTCCTGGAGCTCCGGCTCCGCCTGCGAGGGCACCTCGGTGACCACCTTCACGGTGTCCGGGTAGTGGTTCTCCCCGCCGCCCAGCTCCTGCGAGAAGCTGACCACCGTCTTCGGCTCGTAGTTCACTCCCAGGGCGCCGCTGGGGTCCGGATTCGGCAGGCTGGGGCCGTCGCTGCTCTGGCCATTGGTGTGCGAGATGGTAATGGGCTGCTCCTCCTCCTTGTGGCCGTTGCTGGCGGGGCTGGCCTCCTCCTTGTGGCCGTTTGTGGTGGGAGCTGCCTGCTCCTCCTTCTGACCGTTGGTGGACGCCACTGGATCAACCACCTCGACCTGAGCCTCCACTGGAGCAGGAGCGGGAGCGGGAGCAGAAGTGGGTTCCTCCACCACGGGCTCTGCCTTCCTCTCAGCAGCCACTGGAACGGGCTCTGGAACAGCCTCCGGTTCTGCCACTGGAGCAGCCACTGGAGCAGCCACTGGAGCAGCCACTGGAGCAGCCTCCGGTTCTGCCACTGGAGCAGCCACTGGAACAGCCACTGGTTCTGGCTCTGGAGCAGCTTCCACCTCAGCCTCTTCCTCGCCAGCCACCGCCTGGTTGACCTGCTCGATGGCCTGGGCCACCTCCTCGGGGGCCACCTCGGCGGACTGCTCTGTGGCTGCAGCGGGAGCAGCGGGCTGCTCCGACTCGGGGAGCTCCTCCTCACGCCTCTCCGCCACCGGGGCGGGGATCTCGAGGGCGGGCACGATGGCCGGACTGGCCATGGTCTCCACGAACGAGGTGCGGTTGGGCGAGTCCGGCGAGATGACGACGTGCGTGAAGTAGCCGCTGCGGCGGCTCTCGAAGTCCAGCACGTTCTCCTTGGCCAGTCGCTCCTGGATGCGACGCTGGCGTCTGATGAACTCCGGCACGTCCTGGTCCTCGCCCTCGGCGGGCGGCGGCGAGTCCGCCAGCTTGGGCCTCCGCAGGACTACCTTGGCCGCCTCGTTCTCCGACTCCGCTGCTCCGTTGCCATTTCCATTTCCATTTCCATTGGCGTTGGCGTTGGTGGCCCAAGTGGCCGCCGCATTGGAGGGCTTGAAGACGCCGTTGAACTTGGTGCCCACCAGGAACTTCTGGCTGGCGACCGCGCTGCTGTTGGCGCTCTTGTAGGCGTTGTAGTTGTTGTTGGCGTTGGGCTGGGCAGACAGGGGGTTGAACTGCCCATTGCCATTGCCATTTTCATCGGCCTTCGGCGAGCGGGGAATGGTGAAGTTGGGCTTGCCGTGGCTGATCAGCAGCTTGGTGGCCGGCGAGGGACTCTTGTCCGGCAGCGGCGAGGGCAGTCCGCTCCGGATCTGGATGCTCGGCTTGTTGTTGAGTGTCTCGGCCATCTCGGTCTGCCTGGGAATGTGGAATGTGGTCGTGGTCGTGGTCGTGGTCGGGGCTTTTACTTTCCGTTTCCGTCGCTACTCTAACGGTCGCTGTTTTCGGGTTAAAGAAAGGAAGACGAACAAAGCAAATTAATAATTTCATTCGGATGGCAAAATTAAATCGCTCGGCTTCAATCATGCAAATTTCCATCCGAAATCGCCGGAGGTGAAAGAGAGGAGCGCTTGAGAAAACGCGAAAAAGCGGCCAGCTAATTGCAACGATTTCGCAGGTTTGATTAACCAAAAACTGGCTGTAGATTAGTGGCGAATGCTATCTTATCGATTTACAGCCAAGAACCCAACTTTTAGTTCGGTTATTTAGATTTCTTCACAACCTCTTTAGATTAGTTGCGCAGTGAGTCATTCACTCGTACTAATATATTCTGGCCTGTCAAGACTAATGTTTCTGATGAATAATTCATCCTCCAAAGCTTACAATTACTTCGGGGGTTTCCTCAGAATCTAATCGAAAGCACTCGGGAGGAGACCCTCTTCATATATTCATGTGGAACCTCTTCCCCATAAATCATACGCCAATCTATCAATCCGGTTGATAGCGGCACTCACGAATAACTCATTCTGCCAACTCACTTTCGCAAGCGAGCGACTTGCAATCTCTCCACACGGCGTATGCGTAATTACGTAACTCCGCTGGCAGTGAGAATTCCAGGGTCACCGAGTACTGAGCTGGGAGGCCCCAAGCGAGCACAGGTTGATTGCTGACCAAGCTGAGCTGCTTAAATATCAATTAGATCGGTGGCGCACTCGAATGCCGTGGGTTTGTCCGGCGAAGTGGAAGCCAGTTGCCCGCCGGAAGGCAATCCGTCTCGCGATCCAGATCGATCACGACCTCGTGACGACGGCTGCCCCGAAAACCCATCAGTTGACCAGCGCACGTAGGCTGCGATCGCAGCTGATAGGAGCGGAATACCAGCCCATTTCCATTGGCATTTCCCGCCGCACTCCGAGGTAATTGAATTAAGAGCTGCAATTTATGGCCCGTGTGCATCGCCGGCACTCGTAAATTCGAGTCGCGTTCGATTGGCCAGGGAAAGGTCAGCTCTCCGCTGGCCGTTGATTTCAGCTTTCTGATTGCCCCGCATTAATCAGGCGCAAGTCTGGGCCAAACCAATTAATTAGGGTAATGGCACTGCCTGCCTACAAGTAAATAGCTTCCACAAAGTTTTGAATCCAGCTTTGCAAAGGGACAAGGTCAACTAAAATTAAATGATAAAGTCTATCTACACTATATAAGTTATCAGCTTTTAAGTTCTAGGAGAATGCTTGGCAATATTATCCATTTTGAGTGAGTCACATGCCGTGAGCAAGATCTTTACGGACCCCCTAACTTAATTGAGTGCGTCAAGCGGAGTTTATTACAATATTTCCCCAACCTGCTGTGGGCCCCGTGACAAACAATTAAACAATGTCTGGAGCTGATAAAGGCGGAGCGTAAACGAATTTGTGGCCGAGTGTTTCAACTCTGCCGCCTGGCTTAGCCGGCCAATGTGTGTGTTTTGTTTTGTTTTGTTTTGTTTTTTTCGAGGGCTGCGGGAGTGCTAATTGCGCACAACTGGGATGAAGCGCTGCCTGAGATCGCTGTCCCACACTCCCAATTGCACTCCGATTTCGCCTCTCTGTTAGCTGTTAGCTGTTTGTATGCCGTTTCCCACTCGCTTACTCGCTTTTGGTTAGCCGGCAATCGGACCGCGTTCAACCAATTGGCCTTGAAATAGCTGTTGTGTACACTGTACAGCCGCTTGAAGTGCACTGCTGGCTGTTTTCGTTGCCAATTTGCATAAGGTGAGCGAGAGTGAAACACCATTGGTGCGCCAATTCGTTGCACAATAAAATAATCTAGCCAACCATTCTTTCAACAAGTTGCTGATTAAACGCATTTAAAAAGATAACGATTTATAGTCATAAAATAAATCGAAATTCTCTTGAATCATACTTTTGTAAAAATAGGAGCTACTTTTTGAATTTTTTTTGTGGAATTTTTGTATTTAAGTAGCAAACAACATTCTTGAATCATACGTTCGCTGTCAATACAAATATTTGACTGTTAAATCATTCTCCCTTTGTGTTGCTACATTTAAGTGGCAAAACAACAACACATTCGAACTTAATAAAGCATCTTTTGTTGATCTTGGAGCGAAAGCCAAACATTCGTTGATCGAGATATTACCAATTCCCCCCAATGCGCGGGAATGGCCACTTTCTTGTGCCCATTTCACCTGAATTCCTAGCATCTTGGGCTTCAGGGCGAGATGAGACCCGCGGCCATAAAAGAGCGGCTGCCTCAGAAATTCGATTTGGCAGCTCCCCGGCTCGAGTTGCGTGAGCTGGGTGCGTCTATCACGCGGCGGATCTCGCTGCTCCCGCGGCCCCTTCCTGAACCTTTTCGGCTCACCCGCGTTGGGCTGATGGTATTGTGGTCGCAGACAAACTCGGTCAGCGCTGTGTGAACTGAAAACGAGTACAACAATTGCAGCCTGCTCACAGCTCTTGGGAACTTGGGAACTTGCTGCGGCCGACTTGGCCAAGAGCGACGGCTCTTTGGGCCCGTAAACATCAGCCGAAAGGGTGCCAAGTCGGGCGGTAATCTTATCGAGACATCGCCAAAATCGGCTGATAAGCGGGCAGCATAATCCGCGCGATAAGGCCACTCGAACTGGAAACTGGAAACTGGGTACTGGGAACTGGGTACTGGGTACTGGGTAATGGGTAATAGGTAATGGAAACTGGGAACTGAACTGGGCACTCGAGTGTTACTCAATCATGTGATTAACGGCCCTAGACAGAGCGAAAAGAAAGTGAAATCGGCTGGCAGAAAGAAAAGCTTGAGCCAGAGCCCGAGTTCAAGGCACCGCGGTGGATCTCCGGCGAGAGTGTTTTGCCGTCTGGCCGCATAATTAGTTGTAAATATTTTTATACGTTTTATGGGATTTATGGTTATGAGGTGCCGCGAAAGCCAGGCACGTCGGGAATGGGTCCCCTCGATTAGGGCCCAAACACACACAACACACAACACACAACACACACACATGCACATGCACGCCGTAGAACGTGTTGAGATACGCGGCAATTCGATATAGATGGCAATTTAACGGCCCCAAATGTCAAAGTCACGAACGCCGAGCGTAAGCGGCTTTTTCGCAGCGGCCAACGCGGCGTATGAGCGATCGTAAGGCGCTCAGACGAAATTTACACGCTCGCAGGTCTCGCAAAGTATTGGCGTTACTCCGCTGGATTTTGGCACACACTAGGGGGGTGGGGATGGGGACGCACCTATAATTGGAGGCTAACTGTCCGCTGCGTTACCGTAAAACGCCAAAACGTAACTGAAAGCTGAAAGCTGAAAACTGGAAACTGAAAGCCGAGCGAGCAACTTCGAAGTTCGAACGCCTGGAGTCACATCGTCGTCGCTCGTCGGCGGTTATCGCTCTGCTCGTGCGCACAAAGTTGGCACATATAGCTGGCCATACAGCTGGCTACATGGCTGGCAAAACAAACACGAGCGCCAAGCACCCAGTGCCTGAGAGCTGTGGCCGCTGGCGCCTAATAGCCGTGGCCCAGAGCCCCCAGAAAAATGCCCCAGAGGCGCCCGGCGTGAAAGGTGCGCTTCGCAACACCCCCTGAAAAGAGCGGAAAGTGTGGTGTGTGTGTACATTACTTAATTGCTGGCAAATTGTGCATTTGGACTCCCCAAAGTGGACACTTCCGACGGGCGGAACGAAAGAAGCCCCCAACTGGCCTAAATGGCTTCGGAAAGCAATTAATAAGTTGACGGAGCTCACACCTGCCGCAGTCGCATGATCCGCGATCTGGAATGTGCACTGCGTTCTAGCACTACTCGAATGTGTTTATTTGCGCGGCGAACGGGAACAACTTGTCGTTGACTCACCCACTGATTATTTTCTCAGCCCAATAGGTCAGCTCGGCGGGACAATTGCTCTAGACAGACACGTATGTGTATTTACCTTGCGCGAGTTACGCGGTTATTCAATGGGCGGGAAGATCACCCGCTGCCCTGCTTTATGACTACTGCAACTGCGGCGTATTTATAGATCGGCTTTTGTAACGATTAATTGAAAAGGAGACAAAGTGCAGAGTGCACTAGTTTGCAATGGGTTGAAGTTCCTCGATACAGATGAGAAGAATCAATTTTAGTGTTCAACTTTCGTGTGGAAACTCTCTCTGGCTTCCATAAATCGATGCAATATAAAATGTATATGAGGGCAGATAAGAGTCGTTCAGTTACGAATTCTTATAGTATTTTTAAGACAACACAATAAAATTTTTATCGTGAACTTTAATTAAGAATAATTGTCAGGTGTGAGCAATTGTACATATAAACTGAATCATAAAAGAGTATCTAATCAGAAAAAGAACCACAGATCACTTTTCACCAGTAATTAAAAATATTGTTAAGCATTTATTATTTGCTTCGCAATCTCATGTCAATAAATACTCTCAGAACATAGTTGGTGCTGTTAAACAAAATTTGAATACACTAACGATTTAGTTAAACAAATCTTTTGCTTCCGAAAATAAAAACCTAGTCTGACGCCCTATTTGCTATATTTTTCACACACTTTTTGGGCTTCCGGTATTGAAGTTCGCATCACCACTAGAGTTCCCGAAAATAAACACACGAAGCCATATTGGTTTGATAACTTTTGCCAACACCGAAATTTTATGAGCTGGTGTTGTGTTTTCGTCGCTGTTTGATTACTTCGCTGATAGCGAGAGCAAAGTGTATTTTCCGTTTACACGATTCCGATTCCGCGGTTCAGAGCGAGAATGTGAGTGCTATAACGCCAAAGTCGGACGACCTCCCCGGTGGCCGTGAAAACCGCGGGGGAGTGGCGGCGGGATGTGGCAGAGTGGATTTGGGTGGAGTGGGAAAGCCGTTTGACTTGTGCCCACGGGAGTGGCCTGGCCTGAAAACGAACGAATGTCCCATATACATGCTGCCTGGCCATCATAAGGCCAGGAAAACTGGTAACACGGCACAGAGAAAAAACACCGCAGATATAGGTCATCGATTGGGGATATTTTCCAGTAAGTGCGATTAAATCTCTTTTGAAGAAATATTGTTGTTAGCTTAGTATCCCAGATCGAATCAAAGTGAAAATGTTTAGGGTTGATAAGGCGGTAAGTTTAAGTACGGTAATTTATAAATCATTTTCATGACTTGTTGTTAACAAATTAGTTAACAATTGAGGCGACAAAATCTATATAAAGTTTTTGACTGATGAAATCTTGATCTGCTAATTTTGAAAAAACTATGAATAGGGGAGAGTGGGGTAATGTCGTCAGTGGGGCAAAGTCGTCACTCGCTATTATCTTAAAAAATATAAGGGCTACCAACCCAATTTTTTTAGCGTAAGTGTATTGCACTATTCCTACATTACCGACGGAGTTTGGTAGAATTATAGGTTATGTGTAATTATTTATTCATCAGAAAGTGTTTCGGAGCCTCAAAAGTAATTTTTCTCCGGCGCAGAACTTTTTTTCTTCCAAGTACATTTTTGATCAAAGAAGTATAAAGGTGAGTTATTATTGTTGAGAAATGTTTGGCGAACACGAGATGGTAGGTTGTGTAACACCTGATTCGAGTTTCGATTTGTTATTCATGTTTTTATCAAAAAATGTCGCGTGGGGCATTGTCGTCACTCAACGGGTGGGGCAAAGTCGTCACTGTATTATCTCAGACTGAAATACAAACTCGTATCAATTTATTATTGTTTTGTGATTGTTTATGTAAAGTATTAAATATAAAATATAATTTCTCCAAAATGTTCTTCAAAAAAAATAAAATTCTAAAAAAGAGGTCGCCCAAAGAAAAAACTTTAAGAAATTCTGATTTTTGCTTTCTATCCTTCACTTAGATCTGAATGTGTCAAATTTTTGCAAAAAATAGGTATAGTGTTCCACTTTTTTATATGTATGAATATCAATAAATGTGTGTTTGACAAGTTGAAATAGTTTTGTGCACATGGGTACCTATATTTGCATTCATTATTCTATGTGACGACTTTGCCCCAGGGGGGTGACGACTTTGCCCCACGATTTTTCAATTTTCCAATTTTGCCTTCTTTCAGATAACAGTTTCGTATTAATAAACAAGTGAGAGGATGTCCGAAATACTTACTGCATTTTATAGCCAGATCTTTTCCGAATCCAACCATGTATATTACATGATAAAAATAAGTTATTTTATCAACAAATTACGCAATTAAAAAAAAAGTGACGACAATGCCCCACTCTCCCCTACATGTGTTTTTTCTGTGTCGACCAGTTTTCGCCTAGCGGAGCGGAGGAAGCCAGTTTTGGCCAGAGGCCAATCGATGTGCTAATTACTGGGACTCCAGAATCTAGAGTCCAGAATTCCACAGCTCCGCTGCCAGCTCGCCAGACGATGTTTGCACATCATTACAATTACGCCGCCGAGTGCTTTACTTTAATGATCTATTTGCGAGCGCGGTTGAATAACACGCTAATTGACACACAACACAAATGGACGTGCACTTGAGCCGGAGTCGCGGTCGAAGTCGGATTCCGATTGGATTCGTATTGGGACCCGCAACCTTGACAAAGAAAATTTCCAATTAACGGCGCTTGCCAATTTGCGTACACTGCGAGAAAGAAACACGCAAAAAACTGGCACACGCAGTTCGTTAAAAGTTATTAATTCTAAGCAATTATGCCATAATGGCGGTGGTTAACGAATTGGGTCGCAAGAACCAAAATTCTGGCCACTGCGTGATCGCGGTCTTGTCGCAAATGGCAAAATGGCAACAAAAACGGATAAAAGAAAACACATTGATTGGCTTGAATTATGCACAATAAATAAGAGTCGGTGACTTGTTCACTTCTGTCAGCTTTCCATTCGCTTATGGTAAATTGCTGGGCGCTGCCAATTAAAATAGAAATTGTTGACCAGCCGAAAAGTCTGTCGTTTGCTTTGCATAAAAATTAAAACTTGAACACACCAACGAAACATACGAATTGTTATTGTTGCTTTATGCAGATTGTTTTGTGGTGTTGTTGTTGCTGCTGCAGCACGCAGCTCAAAACTTTCGAATCTGCTGGCTTTGGATCGGATCGGATCGGTTCGGATCGGAAACGTTTGGATAGCGCAAAACGCTCTGCACAGGCGCGTAACGTGTTTTCAACTGAGCCCGAGATCGAGGCAAAGGCAACAGCAACACCAAAAGCAAAAGCAACAGCAACACCACAGCAGCAACAATGCCGGTTTTAATGAATGAAAGCGTACTTTTTTTACCCGCTTTGTGGGCAAACAATGTGCACTTTTTGTGCGTTCGCCACAAAGCCTGTCCTTTGAGTTCACACACAAAAGGCCATCAAAACAAAAGCCAAAGCAAATATTGGTCTCGAGCAAGTCTAAGCTCACATTTGAATTCGATTGGGCGACAGTGCTTATCGATAACAATTGCCTTTAAAAAGACGTTGAAAGACTTTGGTCACACTGGGGGAAGGGGCATAACCGCCTGATTTTATATTTTATTTTATCGACGATTGTTTTAATTCTCTTAAGATATCAACTTCTAATACGTAGTTACAGTTTCAAAAATATATTTTATAATTAAATTGTTTTTTATGTTATTAAACTAACGAAAACTATGTTTTCACCGCGGATAAGGATCTGTGGAAGATCCCGCGTAATTTCCACGTTTTTCCGGTTCAGACTTTTGACTTGGAATCTGGGAAGAGTAATTCCCAACTGCTTGAGTCGGTCTGTGCAGTCCGAAGCTGTGTCGCATATGTTCTGCTCTCCGTAACCGTACTTGCGTCGCTTCCAGGTCTCGGTGGCCCTTTTCAAAAGGAGATTCCACTGCTTGTCAAAGGCGATCAGATCACCCTCCACGCATCCACCGACTGCTCCTTGCTTGCGGAGCACCACCCGAACACGCCTTCTTTCGCTGACTTCCTTGTGGCTCTCCCGAGAAATGCACCTTTTAAGCAGTTCCAGGGGACCGACAACCGCATCCATGTACGTGAAAATGTTGCGATTGTGTTTCTTTCTCGAAGTGCTGGTCGTGGGCATCTGATGCAGCTCAAAGCGCCGCTGAGGGGCCTCTGCGATGTCTGCAGACCTGGAAGCTAAGGCCTTCTTAGGTCCTGCATCGTCTCCTGCTTCTCCCCCAGTTTCCGACTTCTGTCGCTTGTTCAACTGCCAGATGCCAAACTTCTTTAGCGCACTGTCGAAGGCGGCGAGATTCTGGTACAGGACTTTGGGGACCACATCGGTCACCTTATAATTGGGTTCGTACAAGGCTCTAAGGGGGTTAAACTGGTCACTGCACACATCCAATTCGGGGTTTTTGAACGTCGCTTCCATCGACACTATCGGATCCATTTGAAAGTTAGATATTCGTGTGTTTATTTACTAAAGAAATGTAAACAAATTCACCGGCTGTCCGATAACATTAATCGATTGAACGGGAGGCCAAAGGGATGGTAATTCAAAAACAGGAGAATATAAGCTTATTGATAATTTTACACTGGATTAATTAACTTTTAACACGGTAAATAATTCCCCAATTGCAATTCGTAGCAACTTTTTCTCTCTCAATTAAAGGTGTAAAATGGCAGTGGATATTTTCCAGCCTTGGAAAGATCATGAGAGGAAAGCTTTTGTCCCATAAACCCGATCAGTGGAGCTTTCATCGCGGAGATAGCAACAAGTTGCTGTAAATTAAAAGGAGATGGCAGGTAAGTGAAAATCTGGGTTTGCCCTTGAGATCCACCCGTAACGCAGACTATCCTAAAGTTGGCGGAAGCAATGCAAGCTTTGAACTCAGCCCCAAGACCATGGTTGGCGTGGGCGTTGGCTTGGCGGTGGTCGGCGGGGCCAGTTACCTACTGTACCGCCACCTCACCCGCGACCTGATGCCTCAAAAATGGCGACGCGTGGGCACCGTGGCTAGAATCCACTTCTTTCCGGTCAAGTCCTGTGCTCCTTTGGAGATCTCGAAGCCCAACGCGGAGTACGACTGCGATGTCCTGAGCATGTCCTTCGACGGAATGCGGGACCGGACCTTGATGGTGGTTAACGACCAGAACGAGATGGTTACTGCGCGGGTGTATCCGCACATGACGCAGATTCACTCTAGAAAGGTGTCGCCGAGCAAGCTGGTCTTCTCCGCGCAGGATCTGCCCGACTTGGAGGTGGACTTCGAGAACCTGGAGGGTCCTGAAAAGGATTTGCGCACCGCAGTCTGGGGCGTTCCTGTAGAAGTGATGCCCTGCGGCAACCGGATTAACAAGTGGTTCTCGCAGGCCATCCTGAAGAAAGAGAGTGGCCTTAAGTTGGTCCACTATCCCTATCCGAAGCCGGTAAAAAGCATTAATCCGCGACTCAAGGATATGCCCTTCATAAGACAGGAGGATTCTGTAAGTTTTTTTTCAGTTTTCAATTTGAAAGTTTGACCTGCGTTATCCCTTTTTGTACGTTTTACAGGGAACCTTCAACGATGCAACCAGCTTCATGCTGATGAACCTTTCGTCGGTGGATGATCTGAACACCAGGCTAAAGAATCCCGTTGATGCGCTGCAGTTTCGGGGCAACTTTGAGCTGAAAATGGATGTGGACGAGCCATATGCTGAGGACAATTGGCAGTGGGTACGCATTGGAGACGAAGCTGTTTTTCGTACGGTGGCGCCATGCACTCGTTGCATCTTACCGAACATTAATGCGAAGACGGCCGAACGCGATCCCGACGGAGAGCCACTGAAGACGCTCAGGAGCTATCGTTTGTTTAAACTCAGCTCGCCGGCCTTGGGAATTCATCTTGGTCTTCGGCTGCCAGGAAAGGTTAAGGCAAACGATGTGGTTTATGTTGAGGACAAGTAAATACTGCGTTGGCTTTTTAACATTATATACTGTATACATTCACGTTTATTACATAGAACATAGATAAATAAAGTACCGTAGAGTTTTATATGCAAATATACACGTGTTATGAGCTTATAACAATACAAACAACTTTAAGCGGGTCCTAAACACAGGACTGCCAGGCGAGGCCGCCACAGGCCATGCTCACAATAACGTATACAATAAAGGTTATTACCAGGCCCACCACCACGTAGATGCGGATGTTCTTCCAAAACATTTGTCGCGCCAAGTTTCGGGATGCTTTTCGGAATGCAACGGACTGTAACAAAAAAAGGCAGATGTAAAAACTTGACGAAGCTTGTATCGGGTCGCTTTACATTATTGCTCAAGTTTTCGGTCTTGTTGACCAGCAGCTCCAGTTTTTCTCCGCGATCTCGCAGACTGTCTGCAATTGGGATGAAGAGTTATCAGGGGAAGTGCAAGTTTCTAGGATCCACATTGCTACCCACCAATATTCTTAACCATTATGTCTTTTAGCTCGTCGATCTGTCCGTGAACCCGCGAAATTGTATCCACTTCCCGGGACTGACTGAAGTAAACCATCTGCTGGGCCAGGACCTTGGAGAACTCCGTGTTCATGGAGTAGGCAATGGCCGTGGCAACCTGCAGGCCGTACGTCTGGATGAACTTCTGCTTAACGTCCGCCAAAAAGAGAAACGCCCGGGAACGCTCGAACTCCTACGAAGAAACTTAATGTTATCGATTGGGTAACGCGTAACCGGTAACTGGGCCAGTGGCTCGGTTCGTTCACCCACGTTGTCGGTGATGCACATGTAGACCAGTTTGTTCTCGCAGGTGTAGTGGATCAGGTAGTCGCCGTGTGTGTAGGTCATCTTGTGGTTGTGCACCCCGATCCGGCCGATTATGTGCTCCGTTACTTCGGCAAAATTGCCAACACACTCCGCGAACTTGGCCAGCACCGTGGTGCCCCGTGATATTACGCTGTACAGTATCGGCATGGTGGAGCCGCAGATTCTTCTTTGTTGAGGGTGCGGTTCGACACTTCCTGTCCTCGGCTCTTCAGCTCCTCAGCCCGCTTTGTTTGGCTTATCGGGGAATCGACAATAGTCACGGATGACGTGCGCTCGGAATCTGAGAAGTTAAAAAATATGGATTTAGTATCGACTAGACTAGAACAGGGCCTATAGTCACAAAACAAAAGTGATACTCATGACTGATATATAATACATATATGTACAAATATATAAAGAACCTGCTTTGTTTATCCAATTAGTTTTAGTTCCTAGGAAAACTTCGGCATTACATTTTGCGATTGCGGAACAGCAGTTTATTAAATTGCTTGGCACTCACGAAAAAACATTACAAATCGGAAAATTATTCTAATTTTCGTATTGCTAATTCGAACAACAATGCGATGCAGTTATACAAATCAGAGGCGGAGAATAAAGGGTCCACTGCCGATGCATCTATGCCCTGTTGTCAGGTATTATAAGATACGGTCACTCTGAACAATAGGTTTTTTAAAAATGTATTCGGCGGTCTCATTATTATTTGGATTTGGTTAACTCATTTAATGCCTTTCTGGAAATGAAACAGGGAAATCCCAACATTTTAGACGTACTACTCAGAGGATTACGTAATCACAAGCTCGAGTTTTTAAACAGATGTTTGTAATCAGAATGGAAATCAGTAAACCATATATTTGCTGTGAGTTTCAAACTTGAGATCATTCAGTTGAGGTTCGTAGTCTTGGGCAGACATACAAGGTATGTATACAAGTAACAGCCATTTAGAAACATTCGAAACGTGTTCAGGAATGTTAAGTTTTCATTTATTTTGATCATGATGGTCATCAATATTGCAATTTGCATATACGAATGTGTACATTACAGCTGGGTGTGTGTTTTTGCCTGTAGCTCGAAAAAAGTGTAATGAAAAAACTTTAACTTCGAAAAAGGAACAAAAAATTGTATCCGTCATCAAAGCGCAGACTTTTTAAACCAACTTAGTGAATTAAAAATGCAAAATTAGCGAACGATTCCTTTGAAAAAAAAAAAAAACAGAAAAAATATCACAAATCTAAAGAACAACGGGTGTTCGTTCATTTACTGGACTATCACAAAGGGTACACATACCACCACATCCATATGTACATAAATCATATTTTTTATTATCTGTAGAAGTTGGCTTAAATTGGTTAAAAAAATTATACAGTTTTAAAGTTTTTCGCTATGTGATCTGCTATTTTACAGCAGTAAATGATTATTGAGCTTAAACTCTCTCATCTCAACATTTCGTTTTTGTTATACAATGTGATAAAACTCAAGTGTAATTCAATTGTATAATTGTGTATAATTTAATTTAGAAATGTAATAATAATAATTTAACGAATCTTAATTGTGAAATTATTATTTTATTTTCGATTTAAATCCTGCTTTGTTTTATAAAAGTTCAAGATCAGTCTGGCAACCTAAATACCATATGTTGGGCAAAATGGCAATCACAAACGACGCAGAAGAAGCGGAACACACAGTTCGAAAGGAGGAGGGCCGGAAATGTTTTTATTTGAAGAGAATGATTGGAGACTACATAGGTGAGTGACGGCTGATAAGGAGCCATAGACTATACAGACGTGATTCACTTCAGAGACTTCTGTTCGCGTTGTGGCCACCGTGTTCCTGGCTGACTTTCTGCAGCGCCTGTACCGGTCTATCGTCGAATATGTCCGCTATAGCCGGTATTATCTGCCCGAAGACAGGGTGCAGACGATCCTGCGGCGCTCGTTCACTTACAACAACAAGTCGATCTACCTCCTGCTTGCGTTCCTTTTCTTGGCTCTCTCTCGAATTTCGGTCACAGGGAACTTCAAGACTGTAGTGCCCACTGCCGTCTTCCTGGCCCAAATGCCGCTGTACTGGATCTTCAGCGACCTGGGCAGGAGCACGCTGAGCTATTCTCACTGGATCCGGGAATCGCATGGACTGGACTATGCGTCCGGAATGGCCTCCAATTACTTTCACGGCTACCTAAAGCTCTCGCTGCCGGAACGCAAGGACGATGGCCTGAAACACCGAATGGCCCTTTACGAGGTAGGGTGATACTTCGCTCGGTACACAGCAATAATACTCTCGAACTTTCCAGGACAAGAACAACATCACCTTCGGCATAGACCGCTTGGTTATTCTTATTCCCGACGAAATGTTTGTGAACGGCATACTCGAAAGCGATTTGCTGGAAAAAGCTGATGTAAAGCCTTAAATATTCTTTAGTAACATATGTAGATCCTATAACCGAAAACTTAATGTTTTTTTAGCCCCTGGAAACAAAGTTCATTAATCGGGCCGGCGTAAATCGGCCCTTCAAGCACGCTGTCTACAGGATGAATAAAAAGGTTGACGGCAAACACTACTACTTTGCCATCGAGGGCGCCACGCCCATGCTTTCCTTTTTCGAAGCCATGCAGTCAAACTTGTCGACCACTTGGCAGATGCGCGAATTGAAGCGGGAAATCTGGCTAAAGTTTTACAAGCACTTGAAGGAGCTCGTTACGACATGGCCTGAGACCCGCAACGAAGTAGAGCTTATAATCTATAAATGTGGGTTGAAATCTCTTGAACGGATATATAATTTTTAAAAAAACTTAAAACCTACAAATTAAAAACATATATTGATACCTGCAGTTATTTCTCTAACAGCATACACATTTTCTGATCCTTTTTTTGCAGCCCATGATGAAAGGGGAAATCTGGTTGAAGTTGGCGATTTGCTTATAGCTCGAATGGAAAATAAAACCAAAAATTTTGACAATCCGAAAGTCTAAAAACTAAAGACAAAACTTAAGTTGCGAGAAATTACTTTAAATATTCCTGAAAAATAACCATTCTCGACATATTATGTATAAGTATGATAGCAGCAAACTTTTTTACTTTTTATATACATTTGTATAACTAAAGAGAATGTTGTGCGTAATAAATAGTTTTACTAACAGAATAAACTGGTTTTCACTTGGACATGGTAAAAAGATATAAAAATTAAAATGGTAAAAGCCTCCTAGACTTCAGGATGGGTTGATTCCATTTCCTTCAGTTTGGCCTGGGCCGCGGACAGCATTCGTGCCTTCCACTTCTCGTAGTCCTCTGCCTGAGGCTTCTGTGCCTTATTGGCCTCCTGGCCCTTGATGTTCTCCTGCTGACTTTCCTTAAGTTTTCCCTCCAGATCGAAGCTGGGTCCCAGCTTTACCTCCTTGTAGTGCTTTGCTATCATGCGATCCCATTGCTGCTCCAGCTGCTGGAACTGAGTGGGGCGCAGATTGCTGAATGGCATGAGCTTCGTCTTAGAAACCTTCTTCTTAAGCAGGCGACAAGCCTGGAAGACTGCCATGGTCGCGTACTGCGGATGGTTGGTGTCGGTGTCCTCCGTGGCAGCAACGCCGCGAAATAGGGTCATAAGCTCCTCCGCCTTGCGGGCCACCTCGTTGAGGCCCAGCTGCACGCAGATGTCGTTTACGCTGGCCAGTTTGTTCAGGTCAAGGAGTTTCTCAAACATCCGCTTGTTGTTTTGGTAGTGGCTCTTGCGGAGTCCAGACAACTTGAGGGCTTGCTCTTTATCGAACCCGATGCCCAGTAGGCAGGAGGCGATGTCCGCACATAGGACTATTTTGCCGTACTCGTTAATCTGCAGGGGTACATTTGTGGAGCGCAGCTCCAACAGGCGCACCAACTCTGTGGTTTTCCTGGAAAGCATTTGGTTACAAGGATATATCTTTTGTATGTTTGCACGATTTTAGACTTACTCCAACGCGTTGGACTCCTCCTGCAGTCCCATTTTGTTGATCAACTGTTCGATTAGCGTGGTCATTGTACTCCCAAATTCAAGTCGAATAAACAAACAATTTCTGGCGCGAACTGCGTCAGCTGTGGGCGATAGCACAATTTTTGTAGTAATCGAGCTGTTTCTGATAGCAAATCTTTGAACTAGCTCGCGTTCCGATAACATTTTACTTTTAATTTTTAAATAAGGGCGCAATAGTTTTTTACTTTATTTCCAAGAGTAGCTTTTTTTAAAACTATGTATATAAGATGCACAAGCCAGTTGCTCCCCCCAATACTACATGAAAAAAGCCATTTGTTCACCCGATTTGTTTTATACATTTTTCGCTTTAGGGAAATATATGATTAACGTTATGCATTTAGGCCAAGAATTATATTCACTGCCACTAACAATCTAGTGCGTCTCATTGTCGCTGTCATCCTCCTTGTTGGCGGCATCTCCGGCATTTCGCGCCTTCTCCGTCAGTTCTGGGGGATTTATGCGATGCAGACCATCGGTAACCCTGCCCACCAGTCCCATTTCGAAGCGAAAGTCCTTGTCCTTCAGTTCGTCGTGGACCTTGTAGATGCTAAAAACAGGATAGAAATGGTAATCAGTAACAAATGAAAGGAGTTGCGGGGGTAAACCTACATTTCTCCGGCGCTTTTCACAAGATCGTCGATCTTCATGTCAGACTTCAGTTTCTCCATCTCCGTCTTCGCCTGCTGCTTAGCCTTACCGCTGGCACAGGCGTAGTAGCCGAAGCAGGAGCCAGAAGGCTCGATTTTATAGAGCTGTGGACCCTCGACCTCGTCCCAGGAGGCGAAAATGATGGACAGCCCGAAGGGACGTACAGCGCTGTACAGAGTATAGGCGTGGACGTATCCGGCGACCCGCTCGCACAAATGCTTTAGTGGGATGGCGTGCTCGAACTGCTGCCGGAAATTGGCAGCTTCCTGGCGCGCGATGTCCGCGACATAGTTTCCATCGGCCACCAGGCCCGCTACAGCCATTCCGATGTTCTTCTCGATGGTGAATATGCGGCCACCGGCGTCCGGTTCATAGAGCTTACTGGTGATGATCTTCTCAACAGCCAGGACCACGGCGTCCTTGCCTCGGATCCCGATCACCGTGCCGCTCTTCTCCACCGCCTTTGAGGCGTAGTCGATCTGGAAAACGCGGCCGTCCGGCGAGAACTGCGAGGCCGACAAGTCGTACTGCAACCGAAAAGCCCATCTTTAGAATCAATCAATCCGAGATTTCGATCAATAGCTACTTACTCCTGTGCCAATAGTACTCATTGTGAAGCCTCGATCGAAATTAAAAGTTTAAACGCAAATTTTAGCTTAATATGTCGAGTCAAATGAGTTAGACGACAATGATTTGACGGCTTTTGTTGCTAGGGATGGACAAAACAATGTCTCCTATCGATTGCCAAGGTTTCGACAGTGTGTTTGCGAGCAACGTCTCCAAACGAGTAGATGTCGCAAAGCTTTAACAAATTTTTGAATCTTCAGAGCATTGACAGTTTAAAAATAATACCTAAAAAACTCAAGATCCTTCGCTATATCCCTCTCATTTAAGAAAATATTTTAATGCAGGTTTTGGAATAGAACTTAAATTTTAAGATTTACGGGGCCCACAAGGAAGGGTACTGTTTCAAAAACCAATAAAAATGTGCGGATAATAATAAAAACAGGGGGTCATCGAACTTCTTCAATGAAAATAGTGGAAGTATTTTTTAATTTAAAACTTTAACCCCTATGTATGTCACTACAAATAAAACATCCTAAAAGTGTTCTGACCAGTACCATTTTGAACTAGTTCCTTTTTTTTAGCTACAACCCGCGGCGCACGCGGTTTTTGTATTTATAAACAACGAAAATAAAATCATGCTGGCGAATATAAGCGAGAAAAGGTAAGATCAATGCTAAGTTTTTAGGCAGTATTAATAATTATTATGTTTTTTAGCTATGCTGCAGAGGCGCGCTACACGAACTTCTATGCAGGTGGCGACATTGCCTGGAGCGCGGATGGCCAGCTCTTTTACTGCTTGAACGGAGCCGTTGTCAACCAAGTGGATGTGCAAACTTCTCAGATCCTGTGCAGTTTCGGAACATCCTCCGGGTCTACCGAAAATAAACGGACGGCTGAGGTTGACAACATTGAGGTAGAGGAGGACACCATCACTTGCTTTGGGCTGTCGCAGGAGCACTTGGTCACTGCGCACCGAAGTGGGCTCCTGAGGCTGTGGCAATTGACCACCGGCAAGCTGGTGAAACTGTGGAAGGCTCAGCACAAAGGACCCGTCATTCGGGTGGAGTTCAGTCCCTGCGGCCGCCTTATTTGTTCAAGCGGCGGAGCGGACGCCACTCTGAGGCTATGGGACTACTCTAACAACAGCTGCCTTGGCGCCCTGAAGGACTTCCCGGGTCCCGCTTGGCTCCTCGTCTTCCACCCCAATGTTTTACGCAAGGAGATCTTCGCCGCGGGAGCGGACAACACTGTCTATGCCTGGAACTACGAGACCAAGACGCTGCTGCACAAGATGCGGGGTCACCTTTCGCAGGTCACGGGCCTGAGCTTCAGGAGCACCGCAGCAGACTGCAATGAGGTTGCGACCGTGAGCCGGGACAAGGTTCTGATCGTCTGGCAGCTGGAGGAACAGTTGGAGAGCAAACAGCTAAAGGTTCTTCCCTTGTATGACGAGCTGGAGGGACTAATTTTCGTGAATGAGGGACGCCAGATTATCGTGGCCAGTGGAGCGGGCAAGCTGCAACAGGTGGATGCCCAGACCTGGAAAATCAGGGAGATTCTCTCTCAGTCTGACTTCCAGATCAGCCGATTGCTGCACTGCAGAGAACTAAACCAGCTCGCCCTGGTCACCACGGAGCAGAACATCCTTGTCTTCGACGCCGCGAGCCTGACACCCGTTAAGCACTTGGTGGGCTACAACGACGAGATCCTGGACATGTGCTTCATGGGCGATAACGACCGCTACCTGGCCGTGGCCACCAACAGCAAGCACTTTAAGCTTTACGACACGGAACACGATATGAATTGCAAGCTGATCGTGGGCCACTCGGATACGGTCATGTCGTTGGCTGCCTCCCAGAATTTGCTCATTTCGGTGGGAAAGGACTGCAGCATCCGGCTGTGGAGGCTCCAGCACGACAGGGACTGCTCGCTGGAGGCCCTGGCAGAGCAGGCGAACTGCCACACGTCCACCATTGGGTGCGTGGCCATGACGCACAACGGAGCCACCGGCTTTGCCTCCGTGAGCCAAGATGGCAGCATGAAGGTGTGGCAGCTGGCCAGGGACAAGGCGGATCGCAACTCGTACTCCTTCAACCTGCGCTACGCAGCGCTCTCCCACGACAAGGAGGTGAACTGTGTGGCCTATGCCCCGAACAACAAACTGCTAGCCACCGCTTCGCAGGACAAGACGGCCAAGGTTTGGCTAGCGGATTCCAATTCGCTGCAAGGCGTGCTGAGGGGTCATACCCGCGGAGTGTGGAGTGTGCGCTTCTCGCCAGTGGACCAAATCGTTCTCACCTCTTCCTCGGACTGCAGTCTTCGCCTTTGGTCGATTAGCAACTTTGCCTGCATAAAGCGCTTCGACCAGGAGTGCACTATACTGAGAGCCGAGTTTCTAGACCACGGGAAGTTCATTCTCTCCGCTGCTTCGGACGGTCTGCTCAAGCTGTGGAACATCAAGACCAGTACATGCCTGCAGTCCCTGGACGAGCACAACGACCGCGTTTGGGCTCTGGCGGTCTCCGGCAGGAGCAACCGTTTCTTCTACACCGGAGGAGCCGACTCCAAGTTAATTCGCTTCGGCGACGTTACGCAGGCGACGCGCAACGAGGCGCTGGATCAGCGGCAGGCTGTCCTGGAGCAGGAGCAGACCCTCCACTCCCTCCTGCACGCCCAGAAGCACCTGCATAAGGCATTTGTGCTGGCCTTGAACCTGAACAAGCCGAAGGCCAGCTTCGACATCATCAACCAATTTGTCCGCGAGCGGGATGAGCCCGGTCTTCGCCAATTGGTGGAGCAGTTGAACGTGGACCAGCGTGTGGCACTGCTGCAGCACGTCAAGGCGTGGACCACCAACTCGCGACACTCGCAGGTGGGCAACCTGATCCTGAAGCACTTGATCGGCGACGCTTTGCAGGATCCCAAGGCGCGGTTTTACAATAACGGCAACATGGTTGAGGTGCTCACACCCTACGTCCAGAGGCACTTCAAAAGGGTCACCGAGCTGAACAAGGAGCTGGCCTTCCTGGAGTTTATTGTCAAGTGCATGTAGACTAGAGCACTGCAGTAATATAGTTGAGTTAAATTAGTTATACGAAAATAAAACGTACAATCTAATTGTTTTTATTGTTGTATTTTTATAGGGAAAAGAAAACATATTCTTGTATTTTGTATAACGTTTATTAGACAATAGTAAATATAACATTTATAACCACTAACATATTTACTGGAGGTGGCGAATCTCGACGGAGATTTTGCGAATTTAAAATTCAAAAATCGTACAGCTTTTATTCAGATGTTTTGAGGAAGTGTGTCTACAATGAATTTACAAATATGTACCGGCACTTACGTATGCAATCCGTTTCCATTCCAGTTGATTTAGCGGTTGGTCGGTAATCCGGGAGGTACGTAAACACGTCCGACAGAGCGCCTGCGGCTCTTCGGACACATATTAAAATAGACACAGGCGAGTGGACAATTAGTGGTCTGTCAAACGACAGGATCCCTACATTATCACTGTTTTTACTTAATTTTACATAAGGTGTGCGGTGGCAGCTTGGACATTACAATGTGGCCCGGGGCACTCTTCCGAGGCTCTGACTCTACTCGATAATCATGATCAGGTCCTCGCCCTCGAGCTTCGTGCCGTTGGCGATCTCCAGCTTCTTCACGACGCCCGCCAGCGGCGACTGCACCACCATCTCCATCTTCATGGCCGAGAGCACCACCAGGGGCTGGCCCTTCTCCACCTTGTCGCCGACCTGCACACGGATATCGATGACGGTTCCGGGCATCGGGGCGCCCACCTCGCTCTTGTTCGACTTGTTGGCCTTGGGGTGCACGTGGATCTCCTGCGGAAGGAAAGGAAGGAAAAGGGGTAAACGCGAGTGCCCAGGCAACAGTAGAGGCTGCACCCACCTTGACGGCTTCCTTGTCCAAGATGTGGACTGCTCGCAGCTGGCCGTTCAGCTCGAAGAAGACCTCCCGAATGCCGTTGGGCTTTAGGTCGGCGGAAACAGCCAGGGCCTTGACGCTCAGCGTCTTGCCGCGCTCGAGCGGCACATCGAACTCCTCGCCCACATTGGGTCCGGTGAGGAAGATGCGCGTGTCCAGCTTGTCGACGGGTCCGTACTTCTCGCGGAAGTGGAGGAAGTCGTTCGTCACCTGCGGGTAGAGGGCGGCCGACATGACGTCGCGGTTGGTGATGGAGGAGTGAGATTCCTTCAGTTCGCTCTTCAGCTTGTCAAAGTCCAAGTCCTGCAGCTCGGCGCCCGGCCGTCCCTCGATGCGGGGCATGTCCTTGAGGACGCGCGAACGCAGGGGCTCGGGGAAGCCTCCGTGCGGGATGCCAATGGAGCCCTGAAGGTACTCCACCACGGACTTGGGGAACGACAGCTCCTCGGCACGCTCCAGCACCTGGTCGGCGGTGAGGTTGTTCTGTACCATGAACTGGGCCAGGTCGCCCACCACCTTCGACGAGGGCGTCACCTTGATGATGTCGCCCAGCAGCAGGTTGGCCTCGCGGTAGGCCTTCTTCACGTCCTCGAAGAAGTCGCCCAGGCCCAGCGAGAAGGCCTGGAACTGCAGGTTGGTGTACTGCCCGCCGGGGATCTCGTTCAGGTAGACGTCGGCGTTGCCCGACCGCATCGTCGTGGTACACTCGAAGGGGGCGTAGAGCGTGCGCGTCTGCTCCCAGTAGGCGGAGTACTCCGACACTGTGCGCAGGTCCACGTTCGTGTCCAGTGGGGTGCCCTGCAGGGAGGCCACCACAGCTCCCATGCTCGGCTGGGAGGTCATGCCGCTCATAGAGTCAACGGCCACGTCAACCACGTCCGCGCCGGCGTTGGCGCAGGCCAGCATGGAGGCCACTCCCGCTCCCGAGGTGTCGTGGGTGTGGATGTGGATGGGTATGTCGGGGTGCTTGTCCCGGATGGCGGTGATGAGCAGCCTGCCGGGGAATCAGAGTCGATTAGAACACAGAACACTCGGCAGTGGAGTCCAAGCAAGCTCACCTGGCTGCTTCGGGCTTGAGGAGACCCGCCATGTCCTTGATGCAGAGCACGTGGGTGCCCGCCTTGACCAGCTCGTCGGCCAGGTTGGTGTAGTACTTCAGGTCGTACTTGGTGCGCTTGGGGTCGCTGACGTCGCCGGTGTAGGAGATGGCCGCCTCCACCACGCCGCCCGCCTTGCCGGCTGCGTCCATGCCGAGGATCAGGTTGGGCAGGTAGTTGAGCGAGTCGAACACCCGGAAGATGTCCATTCCGGTCTGCACTGCCAGCTCGCAGAACTTGTAGACCACGTTGTCGGGGTAGCTGGTGTAGCCGACGGCGTTGGCGCCGCGGAGCAGCATCTGGAAGGGGATGTTGGGGATGCGCTTGCGCATCTCCTCCAGCCGCTCCCACGGGCACTCATGCAGGAAGCGGAGCGCCACGTCGAAGGTGGCACCGCCCCAGTTCTCCAGCGAGTACAGGTTGTTGAACTTGTGGGCCACGAAGGGGGAGATCTTCAGTAGGTCGTGGGAGCGCACGCGGGTGGCCAGCAGGGACTGGTGGGCGTCGCGGAAGGTGGTGTCCATCAGCAGGAGCTCCTTGCGGCTGCGCACCTCCTTGGCGAAGGCCTCGGGACCCCCGCAGACCAGGACCTCGCGCAGTCCTTTTGGCGGCTCCGTAACTAGATCACAAGGATTCGTTAGTTCGGGGCTTCAAGTGGTTCGATACATTCCCGCATCTACAGGATTAACATAGCGGCAATGTATCTTTGAGGTTGGGACATTAATGGAGGGTTTCAGATACTTTTACCAAACCCCCAAAACATAAACTCGGTTAAACTGAACATCGAAAGCTAGTAAAACCAAAATTAGCATTAACAAACAAACGTATCGAATTGATTAGGTGCGTTGAATGAAATTAGCTTTATACCCAGAAATGATAATTACATAATCCAAGGAAAGCGCCAAGCACACAACATATATACGTATATTAACTTCTATTCTGTGTCGGTCAGTGTTCCGAGTCGAGTGTAATATCTTTTGCAATTCAGTTAGAGAGTAGCGACTGAAGAATCGGAAAAAGGGTTAAGTCACCTTGGGAAACCCTTGTGGACATAAACCGAAGTGACCAATGAGCGTATGTACAAATGTCCTGTGTGGAAATGGGGTCCTTCCCCCATTGGGTTCGGGTTCAGTTTCAACGTACCTTTGGCCTCGCCGCGTTCTTCGCGCTCTAGAGCTTCCGGGGACAGGTCTACGGACCGTTGGTTATGAGTTCGATCATGAGAACGGTCGCGAATGAGCGGGGCGGAGTGGGCGTGGGCGTGGTCGTGGGTTTGTTGGTGGGCGTGTTGTGCATTTTGAGGCGTTGTTGTTTGGTTGTTGATACATAACATAGGTGTGTGATATTGGTTTGGTGTTTGCAATTGCCGATTCGATTGCGATCGCGGTTTCGATTCGGTTTCGGTATTGGTTGATTAATAACGGATGCAACAAAATTGATAGTTGAAAAGTAAAAACATAAAGGTTCGATTAAAGCATATAAGAAAAGCAAAGAACGTTTCACAGGAGATGCGTAAAGCTAATAAATATTCACTATCATGCCTTTTCGATTATTTTGGGTAGAAAGGGCTTCAATGAATCAGTTTAAATTGTTAAAAGATCATTGATCCGTTTTGCCAAGCGAAAGGTCCCTTACACAAAGTTTTCACTTTTGAATAAAATTCACAAGTAAAACAAGAAAGAAAGCTGGCTTCGGCGAGCCGAGCATATTTACTATTTAAACGAAATCAAAGCTATGGCGATTTTTGTATTAATTATAAGAGTTACCCGACAAGAGTAAATCCGACATGAACATGGGCAAAATTTCGACCATCGGAGAATGGAAAATTTTGAACGCAGTTTCTTTAAGGATGCGATTACAAACATTAGAGGTATGTCACTTTGGAATCAGACTAAAACTGCAAAGTTATGGGTTGTGGGCCTCGACAATTAGGGTTCCTATGCGAAGCAATGAATTCATGTCTGCAGTATGAAACTCCGATTTAAACATCCTAAACTACTGTAGCAATGCAGCAGATCTAAATGCGCAATTAAGGTCACCAGACGGGCGCCCCAAAAAGCAAAACTTCGTGTAGGGACCTTTCATCCAGGATCTAGGCCGCTTGACCCGGATGGCTGAAGCATTCGGAGAGCGCCGACTGCCGTGAGTGGAAGCCAAAGAAGCAAGCGAGAACCCGAAAAGCACATGCCAGGACCTGGGGTCTGGGAGACCTAAGGCCGAAACTCACCCAGCGGAACATCGGGCACGTGGGGCGTGACGAGGGCGGGCTTAAGTGTGGTGGCGAGGGGTGTCTGCGGTCCGTTCACCAGCACCTCGCCCATGTAGTTGAGCAGCTTCTGGGCGCGGTTCAGGGTGGGCTTGAACTTGAACAGCTGCGGGTGCTCGTCGATGAAGTAGGTGTCCAGGACGCCGTGCAGGAACTTCTGGTTCTCCAGCACGTTCAGCAGGAAGGGGATGTTGGTCTTGACGCCGCGGATGCGGAACTCGCGCAGGGCGCGGTTCATCTTGGAGGCGGAGCTCTGCAGGTCGCTGGCGTGCGAGATCACCTTGACCAGCAAGGAGTCGTAGTAGGGCGAGATGATGGCTCCGGCGTAGGCGGAGGCGCTGTCCAGCCGGATGCCCATGCCCTCGCCGGAGCGGAAGACCTCCAGGCGGCCGGTGTTGGGCTGGAAGTCGTTGGCCGGGTCCTCGGTGGTCACGCGGCACTGGATGGCGTAGCCGCGCGGCTGGATCTTGTCCTGCGTGTAGCCCAGCTCGGGCAGGGTCATGCCCTCAGCGATGCGGATCTGCGACTGGACAAGGTCGATGCCCGTGATCTCCTCGGTGACCGTGTGCTCCACCTGCAGGCGGGCGTTCACCTCGATGAAGTAGAAGTTGCCGGACTCGTCGCACAGGAACTCCACGGTGCCGGCGTTCTCGTAGCCCACGTGGCGGGCCAGCCGCACGGCGGCCTCCGTCATCTTGTCCCGGATCTCGATGGGCAGGCGAGGGGCGGGGGCGATCTCCACCACCTTCTGGTGGCGGCGCTGCACCGAGCAGTCGCGCTCGTACAGGTGCACCACGTTGCCGGCCTTGTCGCCCAGCAGCTGCACCTCGATGTGGCGCGGTCGCTCGATGAACTTCTCGATGAACATGGCTCCGTTGCCGAAGGCGGCCTTTGCCTCGGAGCTCGCCCTCTGGAAGCTCTCCTCCACGTCCTCCATCTTGCGCACGACGCGCATGCCGCGTCCGCCGCCTCCGTAGGCGGCCTTGAAGATCACGGGCAGGCCGTGCTTTTTGCAGAAGTCCAGCGCCTCCTCCTTGGTGGTCACCGGGCCGTCGGTTCCCGGCACAATGGGCACGCCCGCCTCGATGGCCGCCACGCGGGCCGCCACCTTGTCGCCCATCTTCTGGACGACGTCGGGGGAGGGGCCGATGAAGCGCAGTCCGGCGTCGATCACCGCCTGGGCGAAGTCACTGCGCTCCGAGAGGAAGCCGTAACCGGGGTGCACGGCGTCCACGTCGTTCTCCTTGCACACCCGGATCAGCTCTGGAATGTTGAGGTAGGCCTCCACGGGGGGCAGGCCCTTGCCCACCACGTAGGACTCGTCGGCCTTCTGCCGGTGCATGTGCATCTTGTCCTGCTCCGAGTAGACGGCCACCGACTTGATGCCCAGCTCCGTGCAGGCGCGGAACACGCGGATCGCGATCTCGCCGCGGTTGGCCACCAGCACCGACCGGATGGGCTTGTACTCCACCTGGGAAAGAGGATAACCGCTACTACAGATCCGAGAAAGAGACCGATACGGGGGTACCTACCTTGCTGGAGTATCCATTCTTGAAGAGGGAGTTGAGCCGGACGCGCGGCTGCGTCTTGCGCAGCGTCCTGTACGCGGACTGTGCGGCCGGAATGAACATGGTGATCCCGCCTAGGACTCGAATTTATCTGCAAGAAAGGGATTTATTAAGAAACGATTTACCATAATATTTGGTTTAAGAGCTTGAACTCAATTAAGAATTTACGGCCTTGTCAACAAGCCAGTATGTCCAAGCATTACAGCTCGTGAATATTTATTTTCATTTGGGTCGTTTAGAAGGGAACGGAGGGGCACTCAGCTCGCTCTGCCTTTCGATCGAGAGATTGCATTTAACGCCTTAATTATCTGCTAATTTCAAAAGCTCGATTGCCAAATGCCTAAGGTTATCGACATTGCTTTCGAAAAGCAAACAACAAGCGCTGCTGGAAGGTCTGATGTTGATGCAATTGGAAATCTAAAACTAACAACCGATTTCTTACCGAAAACTACTGCAACGAAATAGTGTTTTATTCGTGGAGTTATTGATTGGGTGAAAAGCTAAGGAAGAGCAATCCTGGGTTTCGGCATCACAAAACCCGCATCTGCTTGCTTAAGTGCGAGTTTAATCTGCGGCTCAAAGTCCGATCGTCTGTTGTTTAGGTATTATTCCATATAAATGGCGATCTGTCTGCTCATTAAAATGAGTTGACTCACGTGATCAAAATCCAAAGCGGGCTTCATCAAATCTACGACAAACTTGTTAAATTATATGGCTTGAGTGACGCTTTGCTTATTGCATATTCCGAGTTTTAGAATCCAAACGATTCACTTGATTGAAACATTGAAGCTGCCTGTTTAGGAACTATTACTTATAAAAGCAGAGGTTGTAATAGATTGACAAATATTTGCACTGGCAGAAATACTCCAGCACGTTTTCGCACTTCGAGTTTACCCAATGGTCGTGCGCACTTGGAGGGTCTAACTGCTTGGATCAAGGAGGGTCAGGAATTATTTCTTCTAAAAAGCGCTATTGGGAATTCGATTCATTTCACTGAGTTGAAGCTTTTGTTTATTGCGACTTCAAATGGCTGGAGGATTAGTAAGCACCCTAAATTGATAAATGGATGACACAATGTAATAAGCATTTAAGACTCGTCTTCTAAAGAGTATTCGCAGTCCGTCGATTGTTGGCTCGCTCCTTTCGCACACGCCATTAAATATTTTATTTGTTTTTTGTCTGTTAGCTTTGAGCTTGTTTAGCTCATTATCATCGATTCAAATGGGTGTTGTAGCCCCCGTTGTCGATGGGACAGATCAACGGACGCGGTTACGGGTGCAAGGGTGCAAGGGTGCGCCGAAGACCGGGTTTGTTAGCCAGACGAGTGATTTGCATTTTAGATTCCGACCCAAATTGAGTTCCAATAACCGGCGCAGGGAGTACTCTTGAAATCGTACTCTATTTGTGGGGGCTCGTCTGCGCAAACCTGATGACTGGTTATACCGCCTATGACTCTACGAAATAATCCGCCTAGGGTTCATTAAAAACTGAAACGAGTTGGGAGATCAGGTCAGGTGATCGTCGATCTGAGATTCAAGGAGTTGGTCTGGCCTCGGAGTTCGGTTAAGAGACCCCTTTAGTTTTTAGTTTCGGCCAGCAGGCTTACCGTTTTTGGATGCACTTATGATAAATGGTTGTTTTCGCACCCGCACATGAAGTGCATGCCCTACAAAAGCGGATTCCTGGGGTCCGCAGATAATAAAGTACCAATGTTGACACTTGTATTGGATGTTTGACACAGGTGCAGATAATGAGCCACGATAAGCTTGCTTTATTAACACATCGGAGGTCGGACTAGAGTAAACATTATCACTCCCGGTGGGAGTGCGCTCATATGAAACTCCTGGGGGCCCACTGGTTGGGAGCTATAATTAGTCGCGGAGTGATGGAAATCTTCGGTTCGATCCACTCTAATTAAATTCCCCTGTGTTAGCATTAATTTCGTTTGCTAATTCGATTAGTTGGCACCGCATAACTCACGATTATGTTATTTATTGTCAAATATTATAAACTTGTCCAGTATCACCTCGCAATATTTGTATTATGAAGAACGCTATGTATGGCAAAAGATATATGCAACTATGGGAACTTTTATCCCACGGTTCACGAATCCAATATCAAGATCCTTCTCGAGGTTTTCAAAATATGGCTTGTATCTAAATCAAGATAACGAGCAACTGAAGCATATGGAGTATTTTGGAAATTTAGGTCACTTGCTATATTAGTTCCCTTATCTAAAC